ATTTCATAAATAATTTTTGCTAATCTTTATCTTGTCTTTTCATTCTCATATAAATGACTTTTGAAGATCAGAAGCATCTAAGAAATACTTGCTTAGGTAGCTATGAAGTATCAATGAAATATCTAGGGTCATAGCCAAGAAATCTTTTCTTCTGTGTTTTCTTCTAGAATTGTTATAGTTTTAGGTTTTACATGAAGTGTTACATTTTGACTCTATTATATGTAACAGAAAGAAAACCAGCACTTGCAAACAAATACTGAACAGTCGCATGAAACAAGTTAATATTACATAGTGGTTAAGAATTCAATATCTGGAGACAGGATGAAGTTCTGATCTCAGTTCCAACATTTACTAGCTTTGTGGGCCTTAGCCAAGATATTTAACTACTCTGACCTTTTTTTCTCATCTATCAAATTAAGTAAGAACAGTTCCCATCTCATAGGGCTGCTCTGAGGATTGAGATAACTCATAGAAAGAACTGTAAGAGTCAATAATATAATCATGTGAACTGGGGGAGGGGAGTGTCCATGGCATAGAAAACATATTTTAAAATGGTTCCCATTAATAGTTGAATGAACCAACTACACACTTGAACACAATTGAACACAATTGCCTTCTAATAGGACAGAAGATAGATTTGGGAATGATGATGTAACAAAACAAGTATCCAAGTCCAGGGTTTGATCTTCTGAATGGAAGAGTAAATGAGGAAGCCATTTAAAGGAAGGATGGTTAAAGCTCTAGCAGAGAAGTAGAAGCAATGCTTCATATTAGCTGGAAAAGAGTGATAATAGAGGCTGAGAGTACATCTAGGCAAAGATTAGATGACTATGAGTGATGTCTGAGTAAGTTAAGATAATGGGGTAAATATAGATGAAATTTTTGCATAGTGATGTGGAAAGAGATCTCAACCCAGCTTTAAATAAGGAGATTAAACCACATACTTTCTACGGTCCTGTATGGATCTAGCAGTCTGTGAAATTTCCAATCTGTGCTGTGAGATTGGGGATGGGAAGAGCTGAAAGCTGTGATCCCTGAAAATTTCAGTAGTTGAAATAAAAAAGAAATCTAGCATTAAAAGTTGTAACCAGCTCCTTATAGAGCCATTTGTGGCTCATGGAAGAAATGGGCAATGGGGCACATTCCCAGAATCTCTGCTCTCAGTGAATATCACATGAAGTATTGGCATTCAAAAATAAGATTGACAAGGAATGAGAGTGAAAGAAATACAGAAACAGAACGATAGATAGATGGATGGTTAAGCGTCCAAAGTTGGTATATTCTACCACAGGGGTTAATTTCTCTGAAGAGCATTGTGAAACAGTATACTTTATCACTTTTTGTATGTGGTTTTAAAAAAATCTTGAGCCATCTATTATTGCCATGAAGTATTTTAAGGCTTTGTCTCCCAATTGGTCTTCATAAGGGTAAAAACAAATTTAAACACTTGTCTAAGGAAAGCAAAACTCACATGTTCAAATAATGTTAAAATTTCTTCCAAAGATATGAATTTATTAATTTTGAGTTATTTGAACTGTCTTGGCCTCTGACTTCTGTACAAATAGATATAATTGAAAAGTCCACTCTACATATTATAGTAATACAACCATCACTAAAAGTTTTGTTTGATTTTGGTTACAATTTTGGGAGAGGAAAACTCATACCAGGTTTCATCCATTCACTTAATATTTATAGACACCTATCAATGCTGAGCACTGTACTTGGTGCTTTTATACATTTTCACCTGTACATTTTTTAATTTAATCCAAAAATTGCATAGTTTTGGCAAAAGAACGTTTGTTCAGAGAAGTGAAAATTTGTCAGATTCTTACTGTTATAAAAGGTAGAGACCTCCAGGAATCTGTCATCTAGCTTAGTAAGCAGGAACTTCAATAAAAACACCTTAAGGTAAATGCTATCATAATCATCCATTAGCCCAGTGTGGCTCCCAAAGGAAAGCCCAGGAAGGGCTTTAAAAAGTAAGTAGCTCTTTGACAGGTAAATATTGGGCTGTGAGAAGGGGAGGAGGTGGAACAGAAATTCAAAGTAGAAGAGAAAAGTTTCACAGAGACACGATGGCCAGGGAATGCCTCTTGTGGTCATGGAATGGCAAGTTGCTGCCATTGGTGGAATAGGGTGGTATGAGATGTTAGCATGTGACAGACTTGAAGGCAAGATGAGATATCCCTGTAGCGGGCAACAGGGAACCAGCAAAGGATATTGACCAGAATGGCAGGATCAGGAGAATGTAGTCGGGGTAGAGCGAGGAGAGACGAGGCAGCGAGGCTGGTGGAGGCTGTCTTGGACCCAAAGAGGACCTGCCCTGGAGCCCTGCCACAAGAAAGGGAGGATTTCACTTCCCACTCGAAATGTTCTCTCATGAGCTCACTTCTGCACTAATTTATTGAAAACAGGTAAAAATGCCTAAACGCTTTAATTGAGGGGGTTTTTGGTTGTTTTGTTTTTGGTCAACCAGGAAAAAAGAAATTTTTTGTGTGCTCTTTTTACCCAGATTCTGGGTAATAAGGAATGGAAGTGGAATGCTAGTGATCAGTAGGGGATCACAAAAGGATGGAATCAACAGAATTTGACTGTATGGGGAGACTTAATGATGACTCCCAAATTTTAAACCTGAATGATTAGGAAAATGGTCATCTTCCTGTGAGAAACAAGATAATGATTTGAGAAGAAAGACAGTTTGCATATTTTAAATAGGTTCAGTTGGAAGTTAAAATAGGATTTTCATGCAGAAATGTCCCGAAGCTGTTGAACGGCCAGAGCTGGTGTTCACAAAAGTAGGGGCTGGAGATAATATAGTCAGCCATTGTCTGCACGGAAAGAAAGTCATGAGTGGTGTGTGTCTGCACAGAGGGATACATGGTAGCAAATGAAAAAGATTGCCCAGGGCAGACCTTTGAGAAATAGAGCAGGAGAAAGTGATTCATTGAGAGAGAGAGAGAGAGAGAGAGAGAGAGAGAGAGAGAGAGAGAGAGAGAGAGAGAGAGAACAGGAAGCAAGAGAAGTATAATAGAACATGCAGAGTTGCAGAGGTAAAGGGAGGAGAGGTGAAGTTGGTAAATGCAGGGGAATGAGGATGTAGCTGCAGGGGTTGTGTTTGGTGATAAAGGGTCACTTCCTCTGGGCAGACTTTCTGCCTTCTCCTTCCCATCCCTCCAGGCCATCTAGGTAGGTCTTTCTTCTCATTGCTTGGCCTGAGTACAGATGACGTTGAGGACAGGTTAGCTACCAGTGTTTGCTTGTGTATCAGTTTCTCCTTTAGATGAAATGCTCCCCAAGAACAAGGACTGTGTGGGGTCATCTACACAGGAGTACAGCATGGATGGGGACTCGGGAGGAATTAAAGCACCTCCCCTGAGAGAGCAGTTTCAGGATAGTGTTGGGAAGGCAAGTAAAACAATAAGATGTTATGAAACAGGGAGATGGTAGGGCGGGAGTTATGAGCAAAAGGAGAAAGAAAGTTATACTCAGAGAGAAGCAGAAAGAATGAAATATTTAATTATAGGGTAGGAGAGATTTAAATAAGTTCCTATACTGTGGTGAAAGCCAGTGAAAAGGCTTAAAGATGCAGAAAGAGGCGGTGGTTTAATAAGTGAAGTGACTTTGAAAAGGGACTGGTAAATGCAGGGCGGGGGTGAACCTCTGACTGAGGGCAGGCGGTAGGTGAAGGTGCAGAGAAAGGTAGAGGTGAGAGTTGAGTTATGAGGTGAGAGGTCAGAATGGACTATGAGGAAGGAACCTATGGCCTAAAGGGGGTGGGGGATGGGGGTGAGACCAAAAACAGACCTTGTGAAGTTCTCATACTGCCACTTATCAGTTCTGTGACCTGTGGCAAATGACTTAACATTTTTTTCAAAGCCTCAACTTCCCTTTAGGTAAAGTGGGGGTACTACTTTCCAACTCCCAAAATCGGGAGTTATTGTCCCACTTACTTGCAAGTGCTTTGTTGGCTATTTGCTTTAAAAAATATATTATTTTGGAATATTTCCCTTAGAGGGCAGAGAAGCTGAAAGATGGTCTGGATCTTTTTTTTTTTTTAAGATTTTATTGGGGAATTGGGGGAAGGGGAACAGACAAGTTGCTGTCCTTTTTGTTCTTCAGTCTCTATGTGAAGGACGTTGCTTCACTGCCCCATGTTGGTATTGTGATCATTGCACTCTTCCCAGGCAGATGGGTGCCTGCCTCTGGACTGCAACTCACAGCAGCTGAGGCCACTCACGGTAGCCCATGGCAGCCCACTGCTGCAGGGGCTGCAGCCTACGCCATAGCCAGTGGCCCCCGGCAGCCCAGCTCCAGGTTGAGCTGTTGTTCACCATCTTAGCTGTCAGAGGACAGTGTCACTGGCCCTCATGTGGGATCCAAACTGGGGCCCTGCTGCTCAGAGCTGGCGTCCCAAGCCAGCTCTTAACCAACGCGCCACTCGGCCTGCCCAGATGGTCTGGATTTTATTAGCAAAGTAGGAGGTGGGTCATCTGAAGCGAAGAAGATAGTGATACCAGAGGCCTGAGTGATCAGGAGAAGGCTTTCTGAGTGCTGGGCATAGGATAAGATGAATGCAACTTGAATACGTAAAATTATTTGCAAGCATCAGTGAGGACCCAGGGGAGATGAGAGTGTAAGGATGCCTGATCCTGGAGGAATCAGGCCCATTAGCTGAAAAGATGTTAGGGGAGGTGCGGCCACAAGCTCCCTCACTGAACTGCTCTCACAGGTAAGGGTAATTAGATAGGTTCCCACCTGGGGCCCAGGTATTCGGAGAGGCTTTGGGATGGCGCGATTGCCCGTTTTTGAAGGCCAGGTGGGAGGGCCCATTCATTTCCACGAGGCTGTAATGGAGTCTCAACCCAGAGATTAGGACATCCGGTAAGGAGCTGCGTGAGCCCGCCCGCAACGCCGGCGTGTGTGGCTGTGTTCCCGCCGCCGCTAGGCCAGGGCAGCCTGACGCACGTGCCGAGCCCCAGTGGGCCATTCGTGGTGCAGCGCCCTACCGCCGCTGGAGGAACTTGAGGAACTTGGTTTGCAGCTCGTGTCCATTGCACGACCTTGGTTTTTTGTTGTTTTTTTTAAATTGCTGAGTGTGGACAGGCCCCGCCCTTCCGCGCCGGGCCGCTGGGCTGCCCCTCCCCAGCTATCCCGAGGTGCTCCTTCCCGAACGGCGCTGGAGGGCCTGGCGGCGGCGGCCCATGGGGCCCATGGCACTGCCCGCCTGGCTGCAGCCCAGGTAGGGCGCTCGGCAGAGGCCGGAGGGGAGGGGCTGCGGGAGGAGGCAGGGCGGGGTCCCCCAACCCCATCGGCGGCTGGGCTGGCACTGGTGAGCGCCGAGCAGCGCAACCCTGCGCCTCGCATACCCGGGAGCTCTATACGGATATTAGTTACTTCAATTCTTTCCACAACCCTGGGAAGAAGGCTCTGTTATTTTACATATGCGGAAATAGGAAGGACAGGCTGCGTGGCCACCGCTTGATTTTGTGCGCTCTCTGCCAGTCATTCTTACTTTCTTCTCCCTTACCCCTCCCCACACCCGCATCCCTCCCCTTGATTTTCTCAGACGCAGTGTGTTTAGACGCAGAGTGAATTTTAGATTTACCTGCTGCCGAAACACCTAAACATGTGCATATTTGAGGGCCCAGTTCCGGAGAAACTGATTCAGTGGTCGGACCAGAGACTGTATGTTTAACCAACACTCCAAGTGATTCTGATGCTGAGAGGAATTCCTCTTCCTAACCCCTTTAGTAGCTTGTGTCATCTGTAGAGTAAAAGCATCAAGCTACACTGTAACTGCTTCCCAGCCTACTTGCCTTCTCAGAGGTTTCACATCTCCAACCAGGAGAAAACCTTGTATACACTGGTAGGGCCACTCCCAGTACCCTTTTGAACCCCCAGGAAACACTTCATCCAGTGCTAGTCTTAACTCCCTCAAACGCTTCTGTCACTCTTCTCTTAGTCATCTCTCCAGCAATCCATTTTTAAACTCAGCTTGACTTCCCTTTTCTGGCCTGAGCCACTAAACTGCCTTCTATGTGTGTGATGAAGGAAACATCTGCCCTTGCAAAAATAAGAGGCAGTGGTGAGATACTGACCCCAATCACACAATGCATTGATTGAAACGTCAGATATATCCAGTTACTGAATTATCCGCCATTTGGGAATGCCACCATAACCCCTCCTCTCCTGTAACGATAAACCAGTTAGTTCCCTCTCAAACTCTGCACTTAGAACACATTCACCATATCAATCATCCATTCCTGCCCCCAAATATTCCATTTCCCCCCAAAAAATATTCAAAGCAGTCTTTGCTACGCTTACTGTTATCCCTTGGTGAATAGCACGGTTAGGACTTTATCAAAGATGAAGTGGATTTTGAAATAGAACCAGATTTGGCTAAAGCAAATTCAGGATATTCATTAGTGGATGGTGTGTGCTATGGGTCCTTTCAAAATCTGATATGCGTTAGACAGGTAACCAAGTAAAAGACGCTGATATGGAATAGTTTTCTCTTGCTTGCTCAGGTTGGCCCATAGGTTAGTCAAAAGACACATGTACAATGCTGGAAGGATGATTATAAAGGAAGTGTTTAATGGTATTTTTCTGTATTTATAGGTATAGGAAGAATGCCTATCTTTTCCTCTACTACTTAATCCAGTTCTGTGGCCACTCATGGATATTAACAAATATGACAGCCAGATTCTTTTCATTTGGAAAAGGTAAAACTCCAAAACACTTTTTGATTTTTACCTGTTAATCCTCGTTTTCACCTATTCATGCTTATATTAACTTTTTCACTTCTATGAACTTCACCTAATATCCTTCACTTTTGTAAAATTTAGTGACCACATTTTCCAGTAACCATATTCTTGCTTAGTGCAAAAACCAAAACCTTTTTTGGAGAAGCGGGAGGTAAGATGAAGGTAAAGGGATTGGCTTTCTCCTGAACAGGCAATTTGCCCTGAAAATGTAGACATGGCATTGGGGTGGTACCATTTCTCTTTTTCTTCTTGGTTCTGCACCAAACCTGAGTATATTTGGTGTGTTTGGAGGAAATCTGTGAATTGCAGTGAACATTTTGTGCAGAGAAATCAGGAATTAACCAAATTCTTCCCTTATTTTTTTCTTTTTTCTTTTTTTATTTGAGCCATCCTGCCACCTGTTGGCAGCTCAGCAGCAGCTCAGCTTGGGCCAGGAATCGAACCGGTGACCCTGTTGCTCAGAGTCCGCACTCTTGAGCGAGCTCTTAACCAACTGAGCCACTTGGCCGGCCCCCCTTCCCTTATTCTTTATTCCCCAGGTTTAAGGTAACTGGAGACTACTAATAAATGAAAGACAAACTGTATATTTTCCAGGCCTTTTGTTCCCCTAAAAGAGTAATGTATCCCTAAGGACACACTTTGCAGATGACTCATCACTTATATGGGAGTTGGCACTAATGGTTTAAGTCATAAGCTTCCTCTAGTTTCCTAAAAAGTAAAAATTTTAAATAGCATTTCAATTTTCAAAAATGAATCACTAAATGATTGTCAAAATAACATTCTGTTCATGTTCTATCCCCACATGGGTAAGTATCATCACAGTTTATAACTGTTGGGTGACTTGACAATTTGAGCAGCTGCTGGTTTCAGCTAAAAACAAACATGTAGACTATATCTGGGAAAAGTCATGCTGTGCTCATCAGTTCAGACTTCTGTATCATCAGGAAATTAATCGACTTCTGAGGTATCATAAACTCTTTTATGTCTCTTTTTTTCTTACTGCAAATTTAGCAGAAAATTCTTGTCTTTGTTAAGAACCTCTAAAGATACAACCTAAGTCTTGAATTCAACTGAGTATTGTGAGTCTTCAGGAAAACACATGTGGTGGGCAAACTTCCTTTATATTAAAAAAAAAACAACAGTCATCCATTCTAGGCCTTGGAAGGGAGCTGTGGCTTTGTGGGCATGTTATAGCTCGAGTCATAGATGATGAACTTTCTTATGCTGCCTGGCCTTTCCAGTGGGAAAAACTGCTTTAGTCAGCAGTGTATTTATTTCTTAATTTTTATCCTGCCTTTTTAGTGACAGAAGCTACTGATTATTAAAGAAACACAACCTACTCATATGGAAGGCAGACTGCAAACAACTAAATGGGGGTTCTGTACAGTTCTTGAATCAATGTATAAATTAAATAAGCAGCTCCACCGCAGTCTAATCACCTGAACTAGCAACACGCGCTCCTCCCTTCGCGGAGTGGTGTAATTGACAACGTTCTGTTATAACAAGGGCAGGGCAGTGGACAAGAGCGGGACTGTCTAGACCTCAGGACTCATCTGTGAAATAGGGACAATGATAATAGTGCTCCATGAACTATCATCACGGGAATGATCCCTAGATGGCAGAGACAGCAAAGTCTTCCCTAGAAGTTTCTTCACAAGGCAAGATTTCATTTTGAAAAGTAAACCAATACACTTACCCTATTTAGAGGAACATTTGTTTTGCTCCCATTTCAGCTCCCTCCAAATGCGGTTTTTTATTTGGGCCTTCAGCAACGCAAACCCTGAAAGTCCCCATTAGAAGCCCAACTTCTAGTGTTTAAAGCTAACAGAAATCCAGGGGGTAGTGGGGCGGATGAATAGGGTAAAGGGGGTGATTGAAGACCAGACTTCAGGTGGTGAGCACATAATAGAGTATACGGGTACACCTGAAGTGAATGTTATTAACCAGTCATCTCAGTAAATGTAATAAAAACCTAACAAAAACCCCGAGAGCACTACCTAAGTATGTTTGGGACACAAATACTTGATACACATAAGATGTTGTTTGATATTATGGCATCATTCATGTCATTTCCATAAAGCTCTGAAATCATGTTTTTCTCATCTTTCATTTTCTTGTCAATGGAAAAGCTGTGAGCATAGCAGACTCTTTGATAAGCTCATCTCCAACCTGTTTACATTTGATGCAGTCTAGATTCTAGCTGGCTACTTTTTTGTGGAATTGCTTTATATGCTCATAAATAGGGATTAAATGCTATCGCTTTGGCCATGGAGCCTTCTTTTTCAAGTTTTTACTTCTTTTTGGAAGAGGAGCAATTAAAATGTACTACAATATGAAGTGCTTTCTTTGGCTGCATAGTCTTACTTTAGTAGTCTAGGAAATTTCTCACACATACAATTAAAAAAGGAGGTAAGTAATCTCAATGTTACTTAAAAGTGCAGCAGAGATTTGGGTTGTGGTCTAATTTTTACTTACTGTATTTGTATTTTTAATCACTGGACACAGATTCAATGGTTGACACTTTTTATGCTATTGGACTTGTGATGCGATTTTGCCAATCCATCTCCGTGTTGGAGTTGCTGCACATATATATCGGCATTGAATCAAACCATCTTCTTCCTAGGTTTCTGCAGGTAGGTTTTAGTCATGTTATTATTATTGAATCTGTTTCATATTTAATGTGTTCTATTCATAGACTCTCTTGACTTTATGGCATTTAAAAAGCCAGTCTTTGCTAATTTACAACTCAGGTCCTTACTGAGAATTCCATGAAAAAAATCATCTCATCCTCAAACATTGCATAGTTTGGAAGGGCCAATTGGAAACATTTGGGGGCAATAAGGCTTGCTGCTCTGTGCAACACTGCAGTGCTCTGCCTCTATTTTGTGAGGAGGTTTCACAGTCTCCCTATTCTCACTCTGCCAGCGCCCTAGGCAGCATAGGACAAAGGAGAGGCATAGGGTTGGAGCCATTCAGACGTGGGTTTGATGCCTGGTTCCTCCACCTACCACTGTGGGATTGAATCACCCACAGTCATTAGGCTGTTTTGGGGGAAAGGACACACACAATACCTGACAAAGAGTAGAGGATTAAAAAAAAAGAAAAGTTTTATTCTTAACTGTTTGAGAAACCTCCATATTGTTTTCCATAGTGGCTGCACTAATTTACATTCCCACCAGCAGTTCCCTTTTTGTCCACAACCTCTCCAATGCCTGTTTCTTGTCTTGTTGATAATAGCCATTCTCATGGGTGTGAGGTGGTATCTCATTGTGGTTTTGATTTGCATTTCCCTAATAGCTAGTGATGTTGAACATCTTTTCATGTATCTGTTGGCCATCTGTATGTCTTCCTTGGAAAAGTGTAATAATTCAGGTCCTCTGCCCAATTTCAAATCAGATTATTTGTTTTCTATGTTGTTGAGTTGTGCAAGTTCTTTATATAGTTTGGATATTAGCCCCAGATGTCAAATTATAATCTTGTACATCTGAAAATTATAAAATGCTATTAACCAATGTTACCCCAATACATTTAAATTTTTAAAAAAGTTCCTTTCATCCCTGTTTAGAGAATAGACTACTCCCCAGCCATTTCTTGTTCACTCTGCCACTTTTACTGACTACAAAGGGGAAAGAAAGATTATTCATGGTTATCTAGCATAGTGTCTAATCATAGACTTGGGGATCAATCAGACCGGGATTCAAATCCCAGTTTTAAACAAATCATATAATTTTTCTGAACCTCATTTTCTCATGTGATGTGGAAATAACATGTATCTCATGGAATAACTGAGAAAATGGGTGGGATAAGTTCTCAGCACTTAAAGAATACAATATCTGGTAGCTATTGCTATTATTTTAGCTATTACTTGTTCTCTCTACCATGTCTCTAGCCCTAGATGACCGTGTTCCTTTTAAAGGCAGGTTGAAGGAAGATGGGAAATCTGTTGGTAAAGATTTAATATCAGAAATTGTTGCTGGATTAAGGCAAGAAAAATGTAAAAAGTCGTATTTTCCATAAAAAAGGAGAGAGAAGCATTAAGTGACTATAATATGAACATGTATTTAAAATCTACGGAAAAAGGCACTTACATGAATATGATTTAAACTGTTCACAAAATAAATTAGAAAAATGAATAAATAACTAAATTTGACAAATTTGCATTGTAAAAATAACTGAAATGTCAGAATCTGATTGTATGGCCAGCGCTTAGTAAAGTGTTTAGAACATAAACACACACCTTAAAGTTTGGTTGAATGAAGGAGTGACATAGTCCCTTGTATTAAAATTTGCTTGAAATACCATGAAAGTTTAAAAGATGGAAATAATATAATCTTGAGCCTAATAGGAACTCAATATTAGAAGTTTATGGGATTTTTAAATTTTACTTATTAAATAAAAGTAAAGAAATAGTATTCATTAGGATGAAGACATTGTAAGTGTCGAAATATCAAATGTAAAATAAAAATCAGCAATATTTACAGTATGAACTATTAATAACGAAGCAGTCAGTTAGCTAGCCAAGACCTAGAGGAAATTCCCTTAAATGTATTTTCTTACAAAATAAAAGGAGTACATATCTGTCCCAGAAGAAGCATATTATTTGGGAACAAGATTTATTGGTGTTTATTACTTGTTAACAACCAGAATGCATATAGCACCAGTATCCTATAATGCTAATTTTAGAGAAAAAAAATTAACAACCCAGGCTAAGTGAAAGTTGTATTCTATCACATGGACTTATTTTTCTTGGGGCATGATCAAATTCACCTAAAATTTAAGTCATGTTTTCTTTCGGCTTACTTTTTTAGACTTTTTACTTTTATAGGATAAATTGGCTAATATTAATTTCAGCACTTTCAAAATTAAGAGTAGTGTTATTTCAGCTATTGCCAATGTAAAGAATGCAAGTGACAAACAGCACAGGTAAATTTTTAAGAAAGAAAAAAAGAACCTTGTGTAGGCCTAGAAAATATGCACAGTTTTTATGCTTTCTAAAATTATGTAGGCTTGCCTAAGAAATTATTATACAAGCTTGAAATTTGATTTCTTGAAGTTCCAGAAATTCCAGAATATTCAAGTGTGATTTTAATGCTATTCATTGAAGCTGTAATGACTTACAGAAATATGATCACTGTCATCAAACTATATCCCGGATTGGTAATTAAAAAAACAATGGCAAGTATACATTGAAGTTTTTTAGTCAAAGGTGAGGTTGCAAATTCTACTGTTAATGAGGCTCAAATGATTTTTAAGTTTTTATTGTTGAGAGGGACAAGTCAGGGATCACCACAGTAGGGAGGACAATTACCATTTTCATCCTAGGGCTGATTATTAATAATTTTTGTTGATTGTCTTCTTTTTCTCTCTTTGACATTTTATCTGTCTTCTGTTTCTTTTATTCACTTACTATCTTTTCTATGGTTTTCAGAATGGACATGGTATTGGAGAAAACTTCAAGGCCACATGTCATCATATCCAAAGTTTCATTTTCTCCCCCTTGCCTTTATTAGTATTCTGCAGACAATTAGAATTCACTCATTATGAGATGACTCCGAGGCCCCTACCTTAAAATAGTCAAATAAAACTCTAATCTTTCCAAACAAAACTTGTGTAATCTCTCTTGGTTTTCCCGTTTCCTCATTTTTAAGAAACTGTAGTTAAGAATGTGGCTAAGCTACTTACACAGTAATCCTAGCTGATTGCATACTGTATCTTGAGAAATGCATGGTGTGCATGGATTCAAGTAGGCTGAAACACTTGTCTGCACATTTGGGATGTTGTTTTGCCATTACCTTTGTGAGATTGCTGAGTCTCACAACTGAATTCTCTTTCTGGGAGCTGGGCTTCCAAAATATCAAGATAAGTAATTCCAAAAAGTAGTAGGAATGACAAGCTAATTGAGCAGGTAGAATTATATGAATCAAATGGTGGTGGTGTTTGTATAGGGGGTGTTTGCTTTTTGTGTTTTGTTCTGTGCATTTTTTAAATGTTTTCTACACATACCTTTCTTTTGACACTTAAGGAAAACCCATTATGAATTTCTAGAATTGCACACAATTGCTAAATGAAGAAGAGGGGGAAACCTACTGATAATAAGACTATACTAATTTAACACACATGTATATTTTTATGTGTTTAAAAAGTACATGTTAGGGGAAAAGGGCAAAACTATAACATAGTTGTTTACAGATATCTGTTTTTGGAAATGATTACATACCAATTAAAATTATATAAGGAAATATAGTTAACATTTGATATTTTTAATTTATAAAATGAGAAAGTAAAAAGGTCCAAAAGATGCATATAACTATTATAAGAAATAATAATGTAAGTAGGCATGTCAGCACTCCGACCCCTTCCTCCCAAATGAGCTTGCATATTTTATTAGCTTGGTAAAAAAGAGTTGAATTGAGAAATTAGTTTATTTCCATAGGTTTAATCACAACAATGTGGCTTTTACAGAGCAGAAATACTACCAACCCTGAAGTATTGATTTTGTTCTGACTTTGCTTGAGTGGTCGCCTGAGAAAGGTTTTTATTGATGGAGCTTGAGGATGCTTCAACCCAAGGAGAGGGGGAAATAACCGCAAACCCAACCTTTGTATCTTGACCTTAGATTGATGTGCCTTCAGAAAACCCTCGGAGTAATCCAGTTTACTCCTTTACCTTTTGAGAAATGCTTGAAATGCAAAGACTTCATACAGAAGTGAATTAAAATGGCTAAATTCTGCATCCTTTTCTTTGCATCACAATAAACAGGGCTGCACATATATTAATAGTACACGATTTTTAAAATCTATAAATAAAAACTATAGGAATTATTACCCCAAAATGGTGCCTACAGAAATTCCATCTGTGAGCCCCAATTTCAAGAACTATCTTTGTATTTACCGATATCACTTCCTATGTCTGATAGGGCAAGCAGGGGTCCGCTGGCCAAACACCACTCAAAAGATTTCAGTCACAGATTCTTATGAGAACAAATATACAGGAAATCTCAAAGGAGAGTATCTTAAAGTAAACCCTTTTATGAAAACGGTTAGGTTTCACCTTTATTTCTTTTTAGCTGTGAAGCAGGTACTTCTTTGCATTGCTAGAGTAAACAACCCTCTGATTTTCCATAAAATCATATAGATTTTTCTCACCAGTTTTGAGCTGGGAACAGTATTATATTGTTAGAGATAAAACTGAAGATAGTGTCAAGCTGTGAGAGTCTCAAAACTGCAAAGCCTCCTGGGAATAAATTACACACACAAGTCACTTTGTAGGTAAGATTTTAGATTTTTCCTCTGTATTTTGCATTTGATTCATGGAGTTCTTCAGTGTGATGATTATAAAGCTACATTCACAGTATAATTTTAAATATGCCGAGATTAACGTTTTATTCACTGATACTCTTGATTATCTATGTAGAAAAAGTGTATTTTCCTGTAAATATACTAATCACTACATTAAATTATATTTATTTTCTTAATAATAATAGCTTACACTTATTTAGGGCCTTCTATGTGCCAAATAGTTTTCTAAATTCTTCACTTGCATTAATCCATTTACTCTTCATAATCTTATACTTTATAATAATTGATATCTCTGGTATAATTACTTACCACAAAAGTCAAATAAATTATCCGAGGTCACATAAATTGTGAATGGAGGAGGAAAATTTTGGATTTAGGCTATTTGTCCTGAACTCTCAACTATTATGCTATATTTGTTTACTGTCTATCTCACCAAGTAGGACGTAACTACCATGAGGGTTGGGACTAGGTCTTGTTCCTAGCTGTATTTCCTGGGACCCAGAACAGTTCACTCAATAAATATCTATTGCATGATGAATAAATAAACACAAAATTTAAAACTAGAATTGTTTAAATGCTTTTGTCTTCTAGAAGAAAGTAGTTGGTGGCTTTTGAACATATAAGCGTTGTATTTCTGATTCTCAACAAAAGTTCACAGGATTGAACTTAATCCTGTGAAATAGTAAAATAATAGTCTAAATTGAGGCTAAAATTTATTTTTAAAATTCTAGAAGCTCTCCCTATAGCTGAAGTATCATTTTACCCTTTCAATAGTTTATAACTAAAGTGCTAGCTGCAATGTATAAAGTAACAACTTGGTTGTAGTCACTGTTTAACCTGGAGTTTAAGATTCCCAAATAGAACATAAAAATGCAAAATGTTTTTATTTTATAGTTACCATACTTTTGAGCAGCTCACATTACCACCATGTTTAATTTGGCCTAAGTTATAGAGGTTTTTTTTTAAACTGTACTTTTATTCTACCTGTTTGAGTTGCACTAAACATTATTCCATTCATTAGTAATTAGTCATGTTCTCATAGGATTTGTTTAAAATGACAAAGTGCTAAGTTCTCCCAATGTAAAGCTCCAAATAACTGGTGAAATTATTATATGTCAAGAAAAGTAAAAAGTTTAAAAAGTCTATTCTTTAAAATTGTTTTGGTATTGATTTACAAAATCAAGGAAGTTCTTATTTTAAGGTTTAACTTTTGAGGAGGGGCTTTTTTTTTTCTTTTCTTTCTTTCTTTATTTTTTTATTGTTAGTTTCAGGTGTACAGAACAATACAATAGTTACCCTTTTTCACCCTCACCAGGTAACAACCCCCCTCCCCTCATCTATTGCCCTCCCACCCCCGATATGCTTATCTATTACAATTCCATTGAATCCGTTCCTGCTCTCTACTCCATGTCCCGAGACTATATGTATATATAATTATAGTTGACATACTATATTATTCAACATCAGCTTCAGAAATACAATGCGGTGGTCAGGCCTCTACATCGACTATGAAGTGGACTCCCCAACAGGACATGGGTCCATCTGGCCCCCTAAGAAATACTTACAACATTATAGATTATATTCCTTGGACTGTCTTTTTCTATCCCTGAGGCCATATTACAATTACCAATTTGTATTGTCTCATCCCTTCCCCTTCTCCTTCATCCCCACCCCCTCCCAACTAACAACCCTCAGTTCTTCCTCTGTGTCTCTGAGACTATCTCCATCCACTTCTCCCATCCATTCAGTTCCTTAGAATCCACATATAAGTGAGATCATATGATATTTGTCTTTCTCTGACTGACTTATTTCACTTAGCATAATGTTCTCTAGTTCCATCCATATTGTTGCAAAGGGTACTATTTCCTTCTTCTTTATAGCTGAATAATACTCCATTGTGTAAATGTACCAAAGTTTCTTAATCCAGTCATCTACCGATGGGCATTTTGGTTGTTTCCAAGTCTTAGCTATTGTGAATAACGCCGCAATGAACATAGGGGTACATATATTTTTTCGGATTAATGTCTTGGGATTTTTTGGATAAATACCTAAGAGTGGGATTGCTGGGTCATAAGGTAGTTCCATTTTCAGATTTTTGAGGTGCCTCCATACTGATTTCCATAATGGCTGCACCAGTTTGCAGTCCCACCAACAGTGCACCAGGGTTCCCTTTTCCCCACAGTCTCGCCAGCATTTGTTGTTTGTTGATTTATTGATGATAGCCATTCTGACCGGGGTGAGGTGGTATCTCATTGTGGTTTTAATTTGCATTTCCCTAATGCTAAGTGATGTTGAACATTTTTTCATATGCCTGTTGGCCATTTTTAAAAGAATAGACTATAACCTGTATAGGCACAGGGGTAGCCCATAAAATAATAAAGGTGATTATGTCTTAGTGTTTCAGAACAAGGGATTTAGAATCACATTGTCTAGACTTTAATTCCAAATCTGTAGGCAGTTCATTGTCACTTTGTAAAATGCAGAGGCAGATAATAACACTTCTTAAGGTTGGTTAGGGAGATTAAATGAGATGATGTATATTTGGAACCTGGCAGAAAGTAACAAATAAATATTGTTTTTTATCAATTTAGGAATATCTCCACCTAAGTCCTCCCATTGTATTGCCATTGAATGGTTGAGTTAGAGTTAGATAACCATCAGATAATTTGTTCATTAGACTGACATTATATGGTTAGGACTTCACATACTCTCATGTATGTTCATGGTTGTATGTTTTGGGGTCATGTGATTGCTGATTTCTATGCAGTTGGGATCCTATGATCAACATGCCACAGACCTTCAAGTGATGCTTTTCAACAGGGTTAGCTTCATTGTGCAACTCCAGCCTCTCTCTTTTAGGAAATTTCCCCCTCTGTACTCACCAGTTAAGGGGCAGTCTGACAACATGGATAGCTTACAACTCTGGAAACCAGGAAACTTGGGATATATAGGTTTCCAGGTCTGCCACTAGTTTGAGCAAATCACTTACTTTCTCTGGTTCTCAAATTCCTTATTTGTAAAAAGGTGGAGTTGGGCTAGTATCTGGAGGGGACCGTAGAAAGCTATCTTATCAAGAGGCGTCTAAGTTTTTTCTTTCAGTACTCAGCCATGTAATTAGAATATGTGTTTTGTGTATGCATTCATGTGTGTATATCTCCTGAGATTTTTATCAAAAAGTAGATGATTTTCCTAATTAGCAGGCACTAATCAAATGTAAGATTAGGCAGCTCCTAAGTACTTGTTTGTGGCCAAGATCTTGTATCTGAAGGCTGCCAAGTATCATGGACAGCAAGCTTGGATCGTTCAGTAATTATCATTGCAGTTAAGTGTAATTCATTCTATAACAATAAGTAAATTAAATCAAGAAACTAGGGCATTGTAATGAAAGACTGACAAAAGAAAAACAGCTATGTAGATATCTTCAATAGATTGACTAAGGTTTGAATCATATCTAATTCCCATAGCTAAGCAAGGATGCTCTTGACTCACTGCTGTAGTCATAAACATGCTGATGGAGCTTATACATGTGGATTTCTGATCATGTGGCACTCTGTTGGCACATCTTGGATTTCTCTGCACTAAGTGATTTTCCAGGACTAACAGCCTGTGAGTCTAAGTCATAGATTATCCCAGTCTTTTAGCCTTGATCTGCTTTAAAAATAAAGACAGCTATTGAAAAATACAAAGCAATCCTCCCCTTTCCTTTAACACTAATATGCTCCCTCCATCTCCAGTACATTTTCCTTTGACCATTGAGAGCAAAGTAAATGTTCTATTAAAAAAAACATAAAAATGCACACTGTACAGGGGATATTAATATAACATAAGAAGGCACATTATATTTAGATTGGGAAAAAGGAATGTATTCTCTGAGGTCAGTTATTGGAGCTAAGCCACAAGTGTGTGAATTCTCAATGATTTGTAAATGCTTACTGACTTGAAGAAAATGAGTATGTTGAATTCTTTTCATTTCCCACTAGCTTGTGAGGGTTAGGATTATATTACTCCCCTTCCCCTTCTCCCTGTGGCCCCCACTTAAAAAAAAAAGCTATGATGGCTTCTCTGTTGGATGAAATTAAAATTTTTCGGCCTGTCATTCAAAGCCCTTCACAACCCAGCCCCCAACACGTTTTCAATTTTATCTCTTATTATTCCCTTCTAAGCACCCCACTCTAGCCCCCAGGGTTTCTCATTACTTGCTGGTGCGCTTGGCATTTTCACATCTCTGCCTCTCTGCTCAGGCTGCTCCTTTGGCCTGGCAAGCCTTTTCTCCTATCCAGTCTACCTCACAAACTCCTACCTATTCCTTAAGATCCCACTGAAGTGTTGTCTGTCTTCATAAATCTCTCTGTGCTTTTCTGCAGACAGGTATTTCCCTCACCTGTGCTCCGGTACTTCGCATGTTAAGCGACAGCATTATTCACACAGTGTTAGATTTACTGCCTCATATTTTCTTGCCATTGCTATCCTCTGGAGCAAGGGCCATGCTTTCATTACATATATAATCTTAGCTTCTAATACATAGCAGACACTCAATAAAAGCTTGCCAAAGTGAATAAAAACATGTGTGCATGTATTACAAGAAGGGAAATATCTGATTCACATAAAATATGTTATCTTTTCATTCATTATATATGATTTGGAGGATACAAAAAAGAAAAAAACCCCAAAAAACCAACAAAAAGGAGGAAATGAAATTCACCCAGAACCCTAATCCCTGAGATCATGTTAATGGTTTAGGGTACATATTTCCAGTTAAAGCATACTTGTAAGAGGAACTCTGGTTTTTAAAATTAGAAAATTACCTACATGCTTAACAGATGATCCTAATTCTTGACTTTGCTGTTTTTTTTGTTTTGTTGTTAGCTCACAGAGCGAATCATCATCCTCTTTGTGGTGATCACCAGCCAAGAGGAAGTCCAAGAGAAATATGTGGTGTGTGTTTTATTCATCTTTTGGAATCTATTGGATATGGCTAGGTAAGGAGGCAAAATGATCTCTTAAAACAAAGGCAAATTGCTTTCTGCAGTGAAAGCAGTAATAGCTGCTTACATTTGGTTACTCGGAATGAGAGAAAATCATAACCCCTTTTCAAATTATTTTATCTTGACATGGAAATGTATTTTTAGTGCTCTCCATCATGGGCATATGAAAGATAATGAGAACCTACCATGGTGTTATAAGAGCCAATCAGCGCAGGTCTGCAGCAGCAGACTTGGCATGCACCCGTGTGGAATAAACCTCACGGCTGTTTGCTAATGAAAGACATTCCTTGCAATCGCTGTGGTACATGTTACTCTAATAAGCAAAGCAAGACTTTTATTATATCATGTCAGAACTTACAAAGTTGGTTTCTGTGAATTTGAGAATATTGAAAATATAGGGCCCTCATCTCTCTGGGGGAAAATGCACCTCCACATGCATTTTTGTATGCAATTCCAGGGGGTTCAAACGACTGACGTTCTTTCATGGACTACCCGGAAGTCCATGGGCAATCCATGGGCAGAAGGTTCAAGAAGCTTTGCTTACTCTAGATTGTCTTCAGTTTCCTTCTCATTCTAAAACGTTGCAACTAGATGAACCTAAATAATGGGTTGAAGCCTACAGTGAATTCGAATGAAATATTTTGTTGAATGAAAATGACTATAATTTTTGTATATTTCCTAGTAAGTTATTTCTCATTTTTAACTGATAGTTTTGTAGACTTGGAACAAACTTCATGGATGTTTGTAGCCCATGACTCCTTGTTCATGAGACCTGGAGCCTCATTTGGGATGGTGGCTTTCTAATGTATTATCCTCTGGTATGCCCAACTCTTTCAGTGTTGATTCAGGTTCAGATAAGCTCAGCAGACCCATTAGAGCATAAAGCAACTTGTGCATTGAGAGCAGTATCATGACATCATGGAAAGACTTTTGGAGATAAAAGTAGATCTCAGAGTAAACCCCACCTCCACCACTTACTTGCTATATGATCTTGGGCAAATCACTTAATCTTTTTTTTTTAAGTAACAGCATCGAGATAATTCACATACCTTAAAATTCACCCTTTTAAATTATAAAATTTGGTTTTTAATATATTCAAAGACATGTGCAACCATTGCCACTACTTAGTTTGAGAACATTTTCATCACCCTCAAAAGCAACCCTAAACCTGTTAGCAGTCACTCCTATTCCCTGCTCCTCCCAGCTTCTGTCAACCAACATATTGTCTCTAAGAATTTACCTATTCTGGACATTTCATATAAATGGAGTCATACAATATGTGACGTTTTGTGACTGGCTTCTTTCATTTAGCATGTTTTCAAGGTTCATCCATACTGTAACATGTATCAGTACTTCATTCCTTTTTATGGCTGAATACTATTCCCTTATACTGATATATCACATTTTATTTATCCATTCATTAGTTGATTGAGATTTGGGTGGTTTCTACCTTTTGGTCATGAGGAATAGCCAGGTGCAAGTTTTTGTGTGCACATTTTCATTTAACGTAGGGGAGAAATTCCTGAGCATCTAACCTTTTTGAAACTTTTGTTTCCTCTGTAAAACTTATCCTAGAATGACCTTTAAAAGTAAGGACCAGGGAACTTCCTCCACCTGATACAGGTATTTATAAAAAATTCACAGCTAACGTGATGGTTATTGATGAAAGACTGATGCTGTCCTCCTAAGATAAGGAACAAGACAAGCGCGTCCACTCTAACCACTTCTATTTACTATTGTACTGGAAGTTTTGCCTATGGCAATGAGGCAAGAAAATGATGTAAAAAGCATTCTTATTATACAGGAAGGAGTAAAACTGTCTTTATTGGCAGATAACATGATCTTATATGTAAAAAAATCATAAGGAATCCACTAAATATTAGAACTAATAAACTAGTTAAGCAAGGTGTTAGAATACAAAATCAATATACAAATATCAGTTGTATTTACACTTGTCATGACCTAAAGTAAAATTAAGACAACAATTCCATTTACAATAGCATCAAAAAATAAAGTAGAAACAAATTTAACAAAATATGTACAGAACTTGTTTGCTGAAAACTATATAACAGTTGTTGAAAGAAATTAAAGAGGATCAAAATAAATGGAAAGATATCCCATGTGTAGGGGTTGAAAACTTAATATTGTTCAGACAGCAACACTCCCCAAATTGATCAACAGATTCAATATCATCCCTATCAGAATCCCAGCTGGGTTCTTTGCAGGAATTGAGAAGCTGATCCTAAAACTCATATAGAAACTCAAGGAACCCAGAATAGCCAAAACAATCTTGAAAAAGAAGAACATAGTTGGAAGACTCACACTTCCCAATTTCAAAACTTACTACAAAGCAACAATAATCAAGAGTGTGATAATGGCATATCATGGAAGAGAATTGATGATGTCTAGAGATAAACTCTCTCATTTATGGCCAGCTGATTTTTGACAAGGGTGTCAAGACCATTCAGTAGTCTTTTCAACAAGGTGCTGGGACAACTGGATATCCACATGCAAAACAATGAAGTTGAACTCTTACCTAATACCATATAAAAAATGAACTCAAAATAATTAAAAAACCTAAATGTATGAGCTAAAACTATAAAATTCTTAGAAGAAAACATAGGGGTAAATCTTTGTGATCTTGGATTTGACAATGGATTCTTAAATGTGACACCAAAAACACAAGCAACAAAAGAAAAAAGATACATTGGATTTCATCAAAAGTGGCTTTTAAACATACCTACTCTTGTAGTAAAGAAAAAAGAAGTTAGTGAGATACCATTTTTCACTTGGATAAAGATAAAAAAGTTTGATAACATGCCATGTTTAGTAAGGATTTGCACTGTTAAGTATATAGTATATAAAATATATATTATATTATATATATACACACATAGATAAGCATATGCAAAAATATTTGTGAAAGAATACATAAGAAACTGGCATTGGTCATAACCTTTGAGGAGTGGAATTGGGGTCCTGGAATGAGAGAAAGATTTACTTTTCACCATTCATGTTTTCAGGGTTTGGGATTTTGTTTCGCCATATGTATTCACTACCTATTCCAGTAGTTCTCAAAGTATGGCCCCTGGACCTGTGGCATCAGCATCACCTGGAACTTGTTTGTAATACAAATTCCCGGCTCAGGTTCCACATCAGACCCACTGGATCGGACACTTTGGGGGTAGGCCCTAGCAGTGTGTGCCTTATGAAGCGCTCCGGGTGATTGTCGTGTATGCTTAAGCTTACTGCCCATTCAGAGAACAACTAAAAAATGACTACATTACAGAGGCAGGTTTTTAACTACCTACTGTAACCCAAACAAGCTCCTCAGGACAGTTCTTTAATTGATCACATAAGATGGCACAACTCCATAAGCAGAGGGATGCCAAACAGGGATTTAGAAGTCATAATTTTATTTTAAAAAATTTATTCCCTAGATATTTACAAGTTTTGTCTGTCTTAAAAATTCTAGCTGCTTGTTGCATAAAATAGGCTTGGCTTCTGAGTGAAACTGAAGTCACTAAGCAAGGAAACTTATAATTGGCTGGGGAAGGGATATGAGTTAAATTTTTTTCTGTATAGCTCCATAATTATCCACGATCCACTCCAGGAGGGAAACCAGACCAATATGGTGCCCTCTCCCCATTTTTTTAAACCTCTTCTCCAACTTAAATTATAGAAAATAAAGTATGGAATCTACACACATTCTAGTTTTATCTGTGTATTTAATTACCTAGTAAAGGATTGCATTCTCTTGTTATTTCCCAGACATCAACAGCAAATGGTGCTTATGAGTTCCTTGTCTCTTTCAGGTACACTTATAGCATGTTATCAGTCATAGGAATATCCTATGCTGGCCTGACGTGGCTCAGTCAAACACTATGGATGCTGATTTATCCTTTGTGTGTTCTCGCCGAAGGTAAGAAAAGAGTGACTTGCTGTATTGCTTACTGAAGAAAGCAATCTAGTTATCATGATTCACTAAACTTTTTGATGATTAAATTACTATTTTGGGCACTGCTTAGCTGACTCAGTGTATCTTCTCTTGGCATACTTTCCTTGATGTAAAGAAGCCAAGCATGAAGAAGCAAAGTTAGAGGGGGAAGCAGCTCTGCACAGTAGACAAAATATTGGATGAGGAATGAGGACATCTGAGTCCATGCCCTGAACTTCATTAAGTCACCGTATGCGTTTTAGATAAATCATCTAACTTAAGTCTGTTTACTTACCTAAACAGGGTTTAACATTTAGTGATGCAGTGATTCGTTTTTTTCCCAATTAAAAAAAAATTTGTTTTAAATTATAGTTGACATCATTGTATTAGTTTCAGGTGTACAACAGAGTGATTTAACATTTATATAACTTAAAAAGTGATTGTCACAATAAGTCTAGTAACTGTCTGTCACCATACATAGTTCTTACAACGTTATTGACTCTATTCCCTATGCTGTAGACATTACATCTCTGTGACTTATAACTGGAAGTTTATACTTCTTAATCCCTTCCATTTTCCACCCATCCCCCTACCCCCGTCACCCTGGCAACCATCAGTTTGTTCTCTGTATCTATGAGTTTCAAGTTTTGTTTTGTTTGCTTGTTTTGTTTTTTTATATTCCACACATTATTGAAATCATATGGCATTTGTCTTTCTTTCTCTGTCCAACTTATTTCACTTAACACAACACTCTATATGTTCATCCGTGTTGTCTCACTTCAGATGGCAAGATTTCTTTTCTTTTCTTTTTTTTTTTTTTAATGGCTGAGTCCTGGTCTCCAGTTTTTGAGGTTCATTGACAGTCTTGGGAAAGAGAGACGACAAAAGCTACCCCTCCCCACCTCACTTCCACTCTGCACAGATGTCCTTCGGTTATTTCACATGTGTATCTTTTGCTCTCAAATAGGCAATAAACTCTTTGAGAGGAAGAATTTTGTCTCCTAAGACGCCTTTAGCATTCCTCACAGCTTCCAATTGGTGCCCTTCCCCTCCCCTCTACCATATACTAAGTTCTTCTTGAATGGTGTCTAGAATTCTGTGGATGGACGTCGGTTTTCTCAGACCATTTTAAACCATCCTCATCTTGGTTATCATTACAATTTAGCTTCTGGCCCAATATTGCTGTAATAGTTGGATTTTATTCAAATTTTAATTACACTTTTCATCTCGAGGAGATTAAACAATTATCTTTGGTTACATATATTTCCTTTCTTTAACCAAGTGAAAGTCTAAGAATCTTAAGACAAACTCTAAAGCTGAGCAGAATATTTGTGATGACATAATTTTCTATAATAGGAATCAATCTTAAATAGCTGAATTACAAGCTCGGAAGGGCCATTCAGTCATTGTTAGTTCATCTAGACATCCTTAGCAAGACATTAACTTGGTGAATGCCTAGATATCTCTTTTCCATATGTTTTTTAATTGTGCAATTATTATTTGATTGATTGAATTACATTAGATTTATTAAAGTTTCTATTGGGAAAGGAATTTTCAAGTATTTAGCTATTTACTTATCTGAGGAAAGATGAGGCATATGTTATCTGCATCACCTTAAAGATGGAAAGTGGGAAGCATTATTTTAAAGGCTTAACAAAACTTCCCATTTGTAATTGATTTTTACCTGGAAACTAGAGAAAAATCCAGTATTCCCAGTTCAGCACATTATTTATTCAGACTTTACCCATGAAGTTTTAACTCCATTTTGTGCTAGATGAACTGATCAGAATTTATCTGATTATCTGTTATTACATCTTTTTTATACTTATTTTTCAATTAGAGTTGACATACAATATTGGTTTCAAGTATACAACATAGTGATTAGACATTTGTAAACCTTATGTAGTGATCTCCACAATAAGTCTAGTACCCATCCGGCACCATGTATACTTACTACAGTATTGTCTATATTCCCTATGCTGTACTTTAGATCCCCATGACTATTTTTATAACTGGCAATTCATACTTCATAATCCCTTTCACCTTTTTCACCCATCCTCCCAACCCCCTCCCATCTGGCAAATATCAGTTTGTTCTCTGAGTTTGTTTCTGTTTTGTTGGTTCACTTACTTTGGTTTTTTAGATTCCACATGTAAGTGAAATCATACAGTATTTGTCTTTTCTGACTTATTTCACTTAGCATAATACCCTCTCGGTCCATCCATGTTGTTGCAAATGGCAAGGTCTCACTCCTTTTTTATGGCTGAGTAATGCTCCATTGTGTACATGTACCACTTGTTCATCAATGGACAACCAGATTGCTTCTGTTTTCTTAGCTATTGTAAATAATGCTGCAATGAACAGGGATTGCATATATCTTTTCAAATCAGTGTTTTCATTTTCTTTGGATAAATACTCAGAAGTGGAATTGCTGGGTCATATGGGAGTTCTGTTTTTAACTTTTGAGGAACCTCCATACTGTTTTCCATAGTGGCTGCACCAATTTGCAGTCCCACTAGCAGTGTACAAGGGTTCCTTTTTCTTTACATCCTGCCAACACTTGTTTGTTGGTTTATTGATAATAGACATTATGACGGGTGTGAGTGATATCTATTGTGGTTTTGATTTGTATTTCTCTTAGGATTATTGATGTTGAGCATCATTTCATGTGTCTGTTGACCATCTGTATGTCCTCTTTGGAGAAATGTCTATTCATGTCCTCTGCCCATTTTTAAAAAAACAGAAATATTACTTTTTTTTAATGTTGAGCTAAATGAGTTATTTATATATTTTGGATATTAACCCCTTATGAGATATATAATTTGCAAATATTTTCTCCCATTCAGTAGGCCGACTTTTTGTTTCCTTGATGGTTTCCTTTGATGCTCCATGTGTTTATTTTTGCTTTTGTTGTCTTTGCCCTAGGAGATATACCTAAAAAATATTGCTAAGACCAGTGTCAAAGAGTTTATTGCCTGTTTTCTTATAATTTTATGGTTTTGAGCTTTACATTAAAGTCTTTAATTCACTTTGAGTTTAGTTCTGTATATGGTGTAAGAAAGTGGTCGTTACATTTTTTTTACATGTATCCAGTTTTCCCAACACCACTTATTGAAGAGACTGTCTTTATCCCGTTGTATATTCTTAACTCCTTTGTCATGTTAACTGATTATATAAGTGTGGGTTTACTTCTGGGCTCTCTATTCTGTTCCATTGATCTATGTGTCTATTTTTATGCCAGTATCATGCTATTTTGATTACTATGGCCTTGTAGTGTAGTTTGGTATCAGGTAGTGTGATACCTTTGACTTCATTCTTTTTTCTCAATATTATTTTGAGTCTTCAGGGTCTTTTGTGTTCCATATAAATTTTAAGATTATTTCTTCTAGTTCTGTGAAAAATGTCATTGGTGTTTTGAAAAGGATTGCATAAAATCTGCAGATTTCTTTGGGTAATAAGGACATTTTAATGATGTTAACTCTTCCGACCCATGAGTACAGTATATCCTTCCATTTATTTGTGTCTTCTTCAATTGGAGCAGTGTCATAGTTTTGAGTACAGGTCTTATTTACCTCCTTGGTTCAATTTATTCCTAGATATTTTATTCTTTTTGATGCAGTTGTAGATGGGATTATTTTCTTAATTTCTTTGATAGTTTGTTATTGGTATATTAAAATGCAACCACTTTCTGAGTATTAATTTTGTATCCTGCAACATTACTGAATTCATTAATTAGTTTTAATAGTTTTTTTGGTGGACTCTTTAGGGTTCTTTCTATATAGTATCATGTTATCTGCAAAAAAAATGACAGTTTTCTCCCTTTCCAACTTGAATGCTTCTTTCTTTTTCTTGTCTGATTGTGTGGCTAGGACTTCCAATATTATGTCAAATAAAAGGGTGAAAGTGGACATCCTTTTCTTGTCCTGATCTTAAAGAAAAAGCTTTCAGCTGGATATAATTTCTATCATCTTGAATTTATTGAGGTTTGTTTTATGGTTCAATATGTGGTCTATTCTGGAAAATGTTCTTCCATGTGCACTTAAGAAAAATGTGTATTCTGCAGTTTGGGGATGAAATGTTCTATAACTGTGTATTAAGACAATTTGGTCTAATGTGACATTTAGGGCCATTATTATTAATTTTATGTCTGGATGCTCTATCTATTGAGGTAAGCGGGGTAGTAAAGTCCCCAACTATTATTGTATTACTGTTAATTTCTGCCTTTAATGTCCATTAATATTTGCTTTATATGCTTATGTGCTCTAATGTAGGGTGCATATTTACAATTGTTATTATCTTCTTCTAGGATTGACCCCTTTATTGTTATGTGATATCCTTTGTTTCTTTTTACAGTTTCTTTAAAGTCTATTTTGTCTGATATGAGTATGGCTACACAGCTTCCTTTTAGTTTCTATTTGTATGGACTACCTTTTCCATCCCTTCACTCTCAGTCTCTGTGTGCTTTTCAATCTAAAGCAAGTCTCTTTTAGGCAGCATAGAGATGGGTCTTGTATTTTTTAATTATAGCACTTAGTCCATTTACATTTAAAGTAACTATTGACAGCTATGTGCTTATTACCATTTTGTTAATTGTTCGTTGGTTGTTTTTTTTCTCTGTTCCTTCTTCTCTTTCCTTTTTATTTGCTCGTTTTCTTTAGGTTCTTTTGTCTTAATTTTTTTCATGTATTTTTTTAATAGATTTTTGGTTTGTGGTTACCATGAGGTTCATATATATCCATCTATATCTATAGCAGTCTATTTTAAGTTGGTAGACATTTAAATTCAAACACTCTAAAAGCAGTACATTTTTACTCCCTCCTCCATGCTTTGTCTTTTGTTTTTTTGTTTTTTTTTTTTAGCTGAGCCATCCTGCCATGTGTTGGCAGCTCAGTTTGGGCCGGGACTCGAACCGCTGTTGCTCAGAGCTCACACTCTTGAGCAAGCTCTTAACCAACTGAGCCATTCGGCCGGCCCCTCCATACTTTGTTTTTAATGTCATACTATATACCCTTTTGTTTTGCATATCCTCTATTATAGAGTTATAATTTTGCTATTTTTGTCTTTTAACCTTTATATTAGCTTAAGTGGTTCATTCACTGTTTTTATAATATATTTGCCTTTACCAGTGAGATTTTTTTCCTTCTCGGTATTTTCTGATGTCTGGTGATGACCTTTTCTGCATAAAAAATATCCTTTAAAATTTCTTGTAAAGCTTCTTTAGTGGTGATGAACTCCTTTAGTTTTTGCTTGTCTGGGAAACTCCTTCAATTATGAATGCTAACCTTGCTGGCTATAGTATTCTAGGTTGTAGGTTCCTTTCCTTCAGCACTTTAAATATTTCTTGCTATTCCCTTCTGGCCTATAAAGTTGCTGCTGAGAAATTAGCTGATAGCCTTATAGGGTTTCCCTAGTATGTGATCTGTTTCCTTCTTGCTGTCTTCAAGATTATCTATTTTTTTGTTGTTTTGTTTTGTTTTGTTAGCTGAGCCATCCTGCCACCTGTTGGCAGCTCAGCGGCTGCTCAGCTCGGGCCGGGACTTGAACCGCTGTTGCTCAGAGCTCAAACTCTTGAGCGAGCTCTTAACCAGCTGAGCCACTCAGCCGGCCCTAAGATTATCTCTTTATCCTTAACTTTTGCCATTTTCATTACAGTGTATCATGTTCTGAGCCTCTTTGGGTTCATCTTGTTTGGAACTCTGTGCTTTCTGGACCTGGATGTTGTTTCCTTCTCCAGATTAGGAAAGTTTTCAGTCATTATTTCTCCAAATATACTTTCTGCACCCCACCCCCACCCTGTTTAGAATCCCTATAATGTGAATGTTAGAGCACTTGCTGTTGTCTCAGAGGTTCCTTATACTATCCTCATTTTTAAAAGCTCTTTTTACATTGTTTTTGTTTTTGTTGTTGTTGTTCTGATTGGCTGATTTCCAGTAGTCTGTCTTCCAGGCCACTAATCCATTCTTCTGTGTTAGCTAACCTGTCAACTCCTTCTAATGCATTTTTCATCTCAGTTATTCTTCACCTCTGTTTGGTTCTCTATTATATCCTTTTTGTTGAAGTTCTCTCTGAGTTCCTCTATTCTACTCTCTTTAGTAGAGCATTCTTATAACTGTTTCTTTGAATTCTTTACCAGGCAAATTACTTCTCTCTGCTTCATTAGAGTTTTTCTCCAGGGCTTTTTCTTGTTCCTTCATTTGAGGCATATTCTTCTATCTCCCCATTTTATTTGAGTTTCTGTGTTTGTTCCTGAGTTAGATGAAATAGCTCTCTTTTCCAATCTTGAAAAAGTGGCCTCTGTAAGTTTGGGCAGGCTGGTTGTAGTTGGGGCAGGTACGTGCAGTGTCTGGTGTGCCACCTGGCCAGGAGTGGGCTCCTGGTGGGACAGCCTGTACACACGTGTGTGGTAGCTCCTTGTTGTTCTAAGGCCACAGCGGAGTCAGGGCAGGGTAGTCTGAATGTGCACGCTTTCCTGCCCTTCTGATCTAGGTGGGGCTGCCCAGTGTGCACATGTGTCAGCACCCTCCTTGCTCCACACTTTCTCTGGACCGGGCAGCTGTGTGTGTGCCTACCATAGCACTCTGCTAATTCCACACTTTCTCAAGGCAGGGCAGCCCCACATGCGCATGCAGCAGTGCCCCACTGTCTGGACAGGGCAGTCCTGTGTGCAGGCACCACAATGCTTTGCTAGTTCTGCACTCTCTCTGGGTGGGGGAGCCTCACATGCATGTGCAGCCTTGTGGGTGCATGCAGCAGTATCCTCCTGTACCCGCTGCATTACTCTCCAGGTGGAGGGTCACTGTGGCACCCTCCTGTTCCTGCTGGAGCCAGCTCTGGGAGGTGTGGCTGGGGACCCACTACAGCGGCCCTGAAGGTGGGCCAGAGATCCTGGATAGGGTGACCACCTGCTCACTATCCAGATTCAGGGGAAATGAAACAATGGGGCTCACTGGTTCCTCTGGTCCTAGAGAGCTCTCATGGCTCCCCAACCTCCTCTAGGTGGTCTTTCTCTTGTTCGTTGTGCAGACGCTGTGCAATTGGCCCTCAGTTGTCTCAGGAGGAATTGCTCTAAATATAGATGTACATTCCATGTGTTCTTCGGAGGAGGCGAGCTCAGCGTCCTCTTACACCATCATCTTGGACCCACTTCCGAAACCAGTTACTTTATTGCAGAACTTTTCAGAATCTCTACTAATGTGTGTTGTGAAACTCCAAGAGGAAAACATATGCAGCATTTTCCAAATTCATTCATCTACCACCCCTATTTGTGGTAAAGAGGACAAGTATTTTGAGATACCATTTGAAGAAACACTGTAAACTGCTTCTCTATAGGCATACTACTATAAAATGGCCAAAAATTCAACAAGTCACACTGCTGTAATGGCCTTGCCAATTTAATCATTCAGCAGATTTCTATATCAAACTGTAGCTTTTGTTAAAAGATTCAGCAATTGTCACAAAATAATCATAATCAAATTAAAATTATCCTTCCACTATACAGACATATATACACATCCCCACAGCAAGTTAAGGAAACCTCCATGATTCTCTCTTTTTTGTTTAAACAGCATTTGCCATCTATCAGTCGCTGCCTTATTTTGAATCACATGGCACTTACTCCACCAAGCTGCCCTTTGACTTATCCATCTATTTCCCATATGTGCTGAAAATATATCTCATGATGCTCTTTATAGGTAAGTGGCTTTTCTGTTTTGTTTTTACATTCTTCCTGTGCTTTTTGGTTTGTGCTGCTATCTACCTTAACAGAAAAGTACATGGACAAAATCAAAGAGGATGCCTGACACAATGAAAACACCTAGAAATTATAACACTCTTTTCAGGACATCACAAGAGCAAATGAACAAGAGATGAACTACAACAATTTTACTAGCAGAAAATGTAACTGCATGATGTATGAAATGTAAAAGTTTTGACCATGGACACAGGTTCCTACACACGAAATTCAGAAGTCAAACTAAGAAAGCTTGACTATTTCTCGTTTTCCTACTTATGTCTATTTTTTTGTTTGTTTGACCCTATGTACTAGCATTTCCTAGCAGGCAAGTGGGAGTAGATGCTAAAGAATCAAAAACTTGCAGTTGAAAAATTTGATCAATTTTTTCCCCAGGAAATTTGGAAAAATATTTCTATTAAATTTTAGTTTCCCCAGCTCTAACCTTCACAAATCCCCAAGATAATGCTTACCTCTAGAAGTAACTATAAGATGTATAAGAACAACACATAAAAGAGAGGACAAATGTGAAACATTAGTAGTAGAAAGAGCTGCCCTAAAGAAAGGGAAAAATGAATTCCTTGCAATGAACAACATAGTAAGATGGAGAGGTTTGTTTTACTTTCCCTTCTGCAGAAAACATGGATGCTTCTTTAAGCGTTCCTTGTTTGAATCTCCCTTGCAAGTGTCTCATCCCTGGACTCCAGGCAGCGCTCTAACTGTATTTTAAAACTATATGTTTCTTTCCAAAGATATGATTGATCAACCTAACCCTTGCCATTTCCTTCTTCGCGTTAGGTATGTATTTTACCTACAGTCATCTTTATTCAGAAAGAAGAGATGTCCTCAGAGTCTTTCCCATTAAAAAGAAGAAAATGTGAAGCACAGCATTCTGATGTGACATAAGAAAAAACAGGCTGTGGATTCCGCTGCAGTAAGCACAATACAGGAAGCATTCTGGTGGAAAAAAATACCTAGTATTTGACAAAAATCCATGACATGAAATAATTACACTCCTTCCCAAACGCTAGACATATCACAGCAGTCTATGAGTCTCACACAGTTTATTTTCAAAACATATACTCTGAACAACCTGTTTCCCCAAAGCTGTGGATTTTATACAAGTTCAATTTATATTAGGGGAAGCCTGGTTATTTCCTTATAAAGGTAATAAGAAATCAGAGATGAACTGGAGTAGATTCAATTAAATTGAGAAACCAAAGTTGTTAACCTAATTACATCTATTTGTATCTATTTCTTTTCACTTCTGAGCTCCCAAATAACATCAGATCCACAGGAGGGGAGCCTGTGAAATACGCTTTGCAGTTGTCTAGAATAACATTTTACGGACAGATGTCACTGTTCCCAGAGCTAACACCCACCTTAAACATCAGACTCACTTAGAAAATTAGACAAACATTATCCCAAACCCTGAAAGAGTATTCATTAATATTATACATGTTATTTGGGTTTTGATGCTTTAAAAGAAGACCCAATGAGAACAGAATACCTTCAGTAAATACACAAATAATGCTCCATATTCCTTTTTTAAAAATCAGGCCATATATACTTTACAGGGAGATAAAAGTTACAAAAGAATAGTGAATCATTTAAAGGAGGTAAGAAAATTAAGAACTAGTCATATTTCAGATCATTTATTACTGAATTACTATTGCTAATTACTATACCATGTCACATATAAGTCACCACTTATAGTTTTGAAAACTCCTACACATGTGAATAATTGACTAATAGAATCACTTCTGAACCATCGGTATATCATTCACTTTTCTTGAAAGAAATATAGAATCTTATTATCCAGTAAACTATATAAAAGGTACTAAGTTATTTTGTTACATAAAAACCAGGTAGGAAAATGTAATTATATAAAAGTGGTAATCTCATACCAGTAAATGAAACATTTGAAAAGAAACAATTGAGCATTAATAAAGATAATTGATAACTTTATAAATTTAAATGTCATATTTGGAATTTAAAAATAAGTATTAAGATTGTCCTTTTAAAAAGCTACATTTCATTTTGCTTTAAAGTTGCTTATTTTACTTCTTAATGAAAAAAATTACTGAAAGCTTTAGTGTGCAAAGAGAACAGAATCCCTTCATAAATTTGAGGTGACTTTGTCTAGCTTTCTCCCAATAAAGATGGCTACATACATTGCTGAAATATACATCTAGACTTACTAAAATGAAAAGAACTAGAGAAACTACACTTTACTGGGTCATTATAAGAAATTAAAATTGCATTGCTAAATAATACTTTAATGTTTTAAAGCAAATTACCTGAAGAACCCTCCTACTTCTTAGAAGACCAAAAATAAACACAAGTAAATTTATAACTATGGTAATTTTGAACTAGAGATGAGTACTGACAATAATTTGAGATATCTGCAACAATTATAACATAAAATGATCTGTGGTTTCCTATGGTGACAGTCACAATTGTCAGTATTACTGTGCTTAGTTGCCTATATTCATAATTGAAAGAAATACTAAATTTCACTAAAGATTAGTGAAAATAAGGATGTAATTTCTTTTCCCATTGCAGTTCATATTCCCAGATTAAGAAACCCAAAGAGTAAGCATCTAGTTCATTGGATGTTTCCCATATTGCAAAGTTGATTTCTTTGGCTATCTGTTTTAACTTGTAGGTCCATCAAATCTCCATTTTATTTTGTTCAGTGTGGTCAAAGCTTAGTTTCTCAAATCTAATTAATATGGATGAAATAGGAAATATTAGATATTTTAAAAGTGTAAGACATAGCTTTTTATTTTTAATTTTTTTAGTTGAGCCATCCTGCCACCTATTGGCAGTTCAGTGGCTGCTTAGCTCGGGCCGGGACTTGAACCACTGTTGCTCAGAGCTCAAACTCTTGAGCGAGCTCTTAACCAACTGAGCCACTCAGCCGGCCCAAGACATAACTTTTTAAATGATCTTTCTTGAAGTCCCAAGTAATCCAAGTGAAGGAATAGTAACCACAGCAGCAGTGCCTCTGTTGCTGAGAAAAAAAAACCAAAAAACAAACCCTGCGCCAAATCAAAACTTCTTTGTAGAATTTACTTCATTACTCAGCGAAAATCTACTTAAAATATACACGTAAAACATCCAGAAGTGCGCATACACGTAATATCATCAGAATCCCTGAGCTTTTTCTTTATCAAGCTAGTTGAATGAAAAACAATAACATTTCTTCCAAATATATTCATTCAATATAGATGTGTTTTATTTTACTCTAGTATGCCTTTATTTTTAAGATTTTATTGGGAAATCGGGGAAGGGGAACAAGACAAGTTGCTGTCCTTTTGTTCTTCAGTCTAGTTGTGGAGGACGTCGCTTCACTGGCCCATGTTGGTATTATCATTGTGGTCTTCCCGGCTGAGGCAAATCAGTAGTCGGCCACTGGATGGCCGCTCACCATGGCTCTTGTCAGCTCACACCAGCTGCTGGCTACTCACAGTAGCTTATGGCAGCTCACTGCAGCAGGGGCTGCAGCCTATGCCATAGTTGGCGACTCACGGCAGCCCAGCTCCAGGTCGAGCTGTTGTTCACCATCTTAGCTGTAGGGGGCAGTGTCACTGGCCCTCATGTGGGATCCGAACCGGGGCCCTGCTGCTCAGAGCTGGCATCCCAAACCAGCTCTTAACCAATGCGCCACTCGGCCGGCCCTCTAGTATGCTTTTTAAGAAACACTCTTATCCCAGTCTTAGCTCTTGATTCCATAACAGGTTAACCTTAGTAGAATGAGTTGATCCCTAGTCAGCTGCATACACACGTTTATGTGCACTCAAGAAACTTATTTTGTGCCTACCATGTGCTGGGCACAGGTCAACATCATAAAACCTATACCAGGCTTCCTGCAAACAAGTTTGTTATTAAAGAATGTTCCACATCTTACCAAAGTTCCTAAGAGAGCTTTTTTTTTTTTTTTACTAGACCTTATTCTGCCTATTTTGAGCGAATTATCACATTCAAGAATCTGTCTTTCAAAAGTTGAAGTAGCTATAACATCAATATCTAAATGTTTATCTGGAGGAAGAATCTTATATTTATTTAAATTTATGTACAAAGAAAACACAATTTTATTGTGCTAAAGAATTAAAGTGATTTAAAATAAAAAAATGTTTCCCCTTTCCCCACCATCTTTCTCTCATTTATTTTTGCTTTGAAACATTATTTTGTTTTCATGTGTTCAGATAATTTTTACTTTCTTCTTCTGGGTCTAAGTGATATGCTAATTTTGATAGGGCACTTTTCCCCAGGGCAGTTTCTCAAAGTAATTTCAGGGTGCTATGTACGGTCAAAGAATTAACCAGAGTCCCTGTTTAGGATGCAGATTCCTGGCCTTCACTACAGACCTGTTGAATCAAAAGCTTTGGTAATGGGCTCAGGAACCTGCATTTTGATTGGCTCCTCAAATGAGCCTCTGCACACTGAAGTTGGAGAACCACTGCTTTTGAATCTAAAGTATTTCAGCTTTGGACAGAAAATTGCTAATAAGAACTATTTAAATAAAAGCCATACAATGTAGTTCTCCATTTTTAGAAAAGTGGCATTCACTTTTTCTTATGCTTCTATTGTTTTCAAGCATACTAAATAGGAATTATTAACTATAGTCTATCTTTGCTAAGGGTAGCTGGCATTTAAAACCCTATCTTAACAAAGGTTACAGTCAATTTCATATGAAAATCAATTAGAAAAAACATGCTATAATTCGTTAGCTATGTGTATACGAGCAGGTCCACTGCGTACTTGCTTTGTGGCTTTCAGGTGAACCATGGGGTCCTGTTAGAGATAATGTGGTCTGGAGGTAAGAACACTGGTTTGATTTGAAATCCAGCTCCAATATTTACTTACTGAATGACTCTCCACGTTCCAGTTTCCTTCACTGCTCAAGGTTGTCGTGAAGAACAAATGGAGTAAGGAAAATTAAACCTGTGTTAATTCAAAAGGGCTGCACATAAATAGGAAATTGATAGCATGTTTCCTGGAGGCTTGTCTTTATTACATGATGGTTTACTGATTCATATTTTCTGAATGGAAGCCCCACAAGGACAGAAACGTTGTATCATGTTCACTTTGTACCCCGGAATCTTGTACGGTGACACGTAGTAGACACTCATCATTGTTTATGCAACTCTGACTTTATGGATTACTACCAGTACATCGAGAAAAATACATATTTTAATAAATCTATCAGATTAATTAGGTGATGTTTCAATTATATTTGACTAATCACAGAGTACCTCATGTTCAGAAGACACATTTTTTTTAACATAAGTATCTTTTCTCAATGTGCTAATTGCTTCTAGAATGTTTTAATTATTAAGGAGAACAACTTCTTAATTAAGAAATTTCCATTATCTTCTCTAGTCCCAATGTATACAGTGCCAGGCCTGTATTCAAGCGTTATAACTACTATTTTCAGTGAAACATACAAAAGTGGTAGCATTTCTATTACATTTTGGAATTTATAAAGCATATTTTTGCATTCTGTCTTTTAACCCTGAAACTACTGTGTGAGGTAAATGATCCCTTTTATCTGAGAAATAAAACCAATGTCAGGAAGTCATTACTGTCATTTTAATTCAGCTTTATATCCAATAATTTAGCTGGATATTATTCCACATGTTCTCTATGTTTGACAAGAATTGATCTTTCTAAATTTCAATTAAACATTTTTTTTTACTATTTATAAAGATTAATAGATAACATACAAACTCACTACTTTATAAACACTATACACGCATACATCATACATGAAAAAAAAAGAATTTAGAATTTCCAGAATCAGGATAAAGTATTTCCTTCCAGAAAATATAAAAGCATATTATCTAATCCAGGACCAGAGCAATATACACATTTCTACATGAAGATGATGCTGTGAGGTGTTTTTCCACAAGAGTGATGAAGGCTGTGAACTGTGTCCCAGCCATATTCTGTCCCCTGGTTTCATGTGCATTGCCTACAGTTAAGAGTAGGCTGGTTGGGGTCAGAGATACAAACTGACCAGAGACCTAGCCTACAAAATAGGCTATAAGGAAGGCTCCATCCTCTTAACCAAATGATCTGATTTCTAAAATAGCAAGTTACTAAAATGTTTACCCCAAATCTCAAACTCCTGCTTACTTTCAAAGTGACTAAGTTATTTCAAGGCACTAGTTGAGTCCTTAACAAAGCCTCACTCCTTATATAATTATAATATCAATATCGTTGGTTAAAATCATTTGAAGTAACTGGCAATTAACTTCAAAAAAATAAAAAAAGGTTATTAACAGCCTTTTAGTTACCATGGAGCCATTATATTACAAATAAAACACAAAGAAGATTTTAGGCACTTAAATGGATCCCAACATCTGTTCCAAATGTACATTTTTTAAATCAAGAATCAGAGTGTTTGGATACTTCTGAGACTCATAACAAGGCTTTAACCCTATACGTTAATTTGTTAGTATATCCTAGCATGCTATTTGTTGTGACAACTTATGATTTCAAAAACTAACAGAAGATGACTTGTAAGGAAACTTTTCCTATTGTATATAGTTTAGAACATCTGGTCTAAAAAAAAAGCAGAGACTTCTGGTTTCTGGAGAACAAAGTGAAATATCCTAAGGAAATTAGTTAATTCTTACCTGAGGTCATACAGGTAACCAAGAGAAAGGGTGTTATTATTCCAGTGACCTATATCTTAGAATGTTGAGGTTTAGAACTTTTAGACTGTCAAATTTAGAATCTTACATTTAGACCCTTTAGAGGCTCCCCTGAATAGAAAAATCCTATGAGTTTTATGCAGGAGTAGGGATGTAATTTGGATGGGAAGCAACTGGGCTGAATCCAAAAAGACAGTCTGGGTTTTTGTTTTGTTTTGTTTTGAGCTGAGCCATCCTGCCACCTGTTGGCAGCTCAGAGGCAGCTCAGCTCGAGGCCGGACTCGAACCGCTGTTGCTCAGAGCTCAAACCTTTGAGCGAGCTCTTAACCAACTGAGCCACTCAGCCAGCCCGAGGCAGTCTGGGTTTTGAAGTCTGGGTTGATTTTTCATCCTTTCCTTGAGCATTAGTAAGCTCTTTTCCTGCTGATTCAGGGGGCGAAATTCAGGGGTTCCTCAGTGCCCACTTCCTCTTCACTGGCCTTTCTTGCCGTCCATGTTTGTAAGCTGTCCCAGGAACCTAAAGTCCTTTGACCCATGAAGGACCTGTTCCTTTTACTGTAGCTCCCAAACTTCCCAATTCCAGAGGCTTATTAACATGAGACAGGTTTATTTCTTTGATCTGATTACAGCCATCTATAGTAAGCATATTAAGCCACAGGTTTAATAAAGCATCTTAGACCACAACAAGCACATTAAAGCCAAGGTGTAATCCTTGATGGGAGTTTTTATCTTAAAGCAGGTGTTGATGAGCCTGATGTAGAAAGAACATTGGGTCTGGGGTTCTAGGAGCTTGGTTCTAGACATAGCTCTGCCACTTACTACTACATATGTTTTCTCCATTTGAAAATGGGGATGAATTAGATGAATTTCAACTTCTAATTGGAAGACATATAAGAAAGTGTATGTGGGTGGGGAAAAAGGAGAAGCAAATTTTTTGCTTCAAATTCATTTCCCTCTAGCCCAGCCTTTAAGGAAGAATATACATGCAATACTGGCAATGCAGGTAAATACTACCCGAGAGCTTGCCTTTCCTCCTTCCCCTTTCCTTTTTGTTGGGCAAGCATCTCAGCACTCTGTGGAGTTCCGCAAAAGAAAGAACTGTGACCTGGGAACAGAGTTTGAGTTACACAGTGAAACACAGCTATTTGAAACCTGGAAACATAAATCCAGATATTTGGAAAGTAAAACTAGTAGAGCTATTTTTTAATCTAAGTGGTAAGGAGGAACACTTGGTGACAACATGAAGGTAATGTCACATGGGAATACTTAAAGTTGCATGGGGCTTATAAGTACCAGGCACTGTGCTATAGTGTGACAGACACAAAAGTACCTTATTCCAATGGCACAAATTTTCTCCCCAGTGATCCCAGATATGTATACGTCAGTATATTTATATGAGTGACTAAAGACTCTCCTGATTAATGACTACATGAAGGAAAGATAATTTGCAAATGTCAAAATTAAAATGCTGGCTGATTCTCAAGACTTTGAGTAAAATGTAGCCCTTGAGGATTCTGTCACATACCTTCATTTACTCGTCATTAGGCCACTAGTCACTCTGATTAAGATAGAGATGTGTACTTGCAAAAAAGGTTAATATTTCAAGGCGGTATTTGCCATTTTTTTTCTTACCCAGTACCCCATAATATTGCTTCTGGGGGAACCCAGTTCAGGTGACATACGACTCAGACCTGGTCAATTACAATACCCCACTTCCCAGGGACTCACAAGTGTCTCAAGCTGAATCAGTGTCCTCCCCATGTTGCTTCTGCCATACCTGGGAAGAAAGACACCTTTCTTTCCTTTGAGGTTGCTGGCAGCCATCTTGCCAACTATGTGGAGTGATCCTGAGAGAAACAAAGCCTGATGGGATGGCACGGCTTGACCCACTGGATGCCACTGTGCCTGATCAGACGGAGCTACTCTTTAACTTCTTGGTTTGTGAACTAATACATACTCCTTTTTAGCTAATGTTCCTTTGAATTGGACGACTTCCATTTGCATTCAAGAGACCCAAGCATAAGACAATGATAGCCACGGCTAATGAATCTGAGTTAGCTAATGTTTAACACCATGCTCATTATTTAAAAGTGTATAGCAGTTCCAAGAGACTATTTCATCAATAAGAATAAGAAAACATGTCTAACTCATTGACTCAATAAATATCCTCTAGAGACTTCATGGGAAATAGATCATGATGCCACTGTCAGCACTATAGTTTGGTTTTGCTAATAAAACCTTCCCTGTGCCTTCAAACAAAAGTCACATGCACAAAATTCACAAGATTATTTTACTTGAATTTAGGGGGGAGGAGATGATATAGTCAGTTTTCACAAAGAAAATATTCAGCTTGAACTCTAGCCAAATAAAAGATAGTTCAAGTTCTTGTTTCAGTCTCCACTGACCTGGGTACTGAAGCAATGCCCCCTATCCTGGCATGTACGGTTCAGGCTGTCAGTTATGTGGCCACCCTTTCATGATCCTTAACTCTTGGATTCACGTCTCAGTGATCCCAGATACGAATTCTAAAAAATTTCTTCCATTTGTGTGGTTTTCGTCTTCCATCTGAGAATGTGGCTGGCTACCGCAAAACTGGTCACCAACCGTATGCTCTGGTCCATATGGCTTTCTTCTTAAACTCTGGGAGAACTCTCAAGGACAGCAGGGTGGCTAAGGAGACAAAAAATAAAGTGTACTGTTGCATTTAGTGGAGATGAATTTGAAAAGGTCATTACAGCAAAAGGTGTCAGAACAGAACTTGGCTTTTTCTCACTTGATTAATCTTCAAGAGACTAAAAATTCCCATCAGGCAGAATTACAATGGCAGAAAACCATTAATAAAGGCTGGGAAAAGGGTTTTTAAAAAATGTTTTAAAGAATGTTATCATGCAACCAGTTAATTGGAAATACTGCAGAATTAAAACAAAAACTGACTTCAGGGATGCTAGTGATTTTTTTTTTCTCTTAATCTGTGTGTTGATTACATAGGTGTGTTCCCTTTGTGAAAATCTACTTATGAGTTGTGCACTTTTCTACATGAAAACAATTTTTCCATTAAATGTTTAATTAAAAGTTTAAAAAAAAGAAAACACCCAAAAAACTGATCCTGTAATGAAGTTAGGTTCATGGGCTCAATGGAGCAAGCATAAATAACTACTAAACTGTATTTGAACATGTACCCACAAGTCCACAGCTTTTCTTTTCTGTCATGGGTCCCTCAGGGATCAATTTAAAATAAGGAAGTTCTGTGTAATGCCTCTAGGTAACTTATTATGTATCTTATTTCAAAATACTAATATACATATATTGAGATGTTATTTAAAATATAATAGTGCAAAGGAATATAAAAGTTACACTGTTATTGTTTGTGACTAATTAGCCCTTCAATATATAATCAAGTGAACATGTACCTCCTTGACCCAAATAACTATTTTCCTCATCAGCATCAATTGTTTGTTATCATCATGACCTAAGACAGCATATGTTTGGATTAACCAATGGTATTATGGACACATGGCCATTAAAAATGAGTCCAAACTCCCTGACATAAACAAGTGGAGGAAATCCTAACAGCAAGTGTTTAGGGATGGATCAGTGGAAACATGTCGGACCCCGGCCCTCATTCTCAGTGAAGTTCTTTGGTTGATCAGAATCACCTTCATACACATGTCCTCCACCCTCTTTGTGGGTAGGGAGGAGGATCAGAACCAATACATTAAAGAATTATTGCTTGTTTGGCAAAGAATATGTTATATCATACTTAAAGTAAAATATGGTCATACTATGGCTCTAGGCTGGAGATAGGCCTGATAGATTATCAGAAGAGTAGGTCAATGGGCAACTTTCCCAAGGTGAGGAGGCTTTTTAGGGCAGTATCTTACAGCATGTCCATACAAGCCACTGGTAGGATCCAGAATCTTCCTCGCCCCCCCCCCCCCAAGTCCCAAGACACAGATGACAGCATAATCTGTCTTGGGCCACAGAGCCAATGCCTAAAAGACTTCTCAGATTTGAGTAAAAATATCTACTATATAATTTTCTCAGAAAGATCTATGTTTGTGGATCCTACAGTCATAGCTTAACAAATTGATAAGTACTATAAAAAACCACACACAAAAAAGTCTAAATACCTGAAGGCATGGGAAATGCCCAACTCCTTTGGCAAAATACTATGTAGCCATTAAAAATATTATTATGAAGTCAGTGTAAGAACAGCTTTAAATGCTTTAAAAATAATTTTAAAATAAAAAAGGCAGGGCCGGCCGAGTGGCTCAGTTGGTTACGAGCTCGCTCAAGAGTCTGAGCTCTGAGCAACAACGGTTCGAGTCCCAGCCCAAGCTGAGCAGCTGCTGAGCTGCCAACTGGTGGCAGGATGGATCCGCTAAAAAAAAAAAAAAAAAGAAAAAAAAAAGGAAAAGGCAGTACTCAAAGTTTCTATGTATATTTTCTCAATTATTTATGATTATAAATATATTAAAACAACACTCATACACAGAGGGCAAAAACTTCTCATAAGAAACATATAAGTTGTCACTGTGCAAAATAGGTCTGGATACCTCTCTTGTTTCTTTCTTTTAATGAATTTTCTAAATTTTAATTAAAGTCATATTTTATAATTATAATAAAACATTTTAAAACCGTTTAAATAAAAATTAACTTTAAAGGCCCTGGAATTCTTTTTTAATCCACTAATTAAAAATGCCATGTTGGCAACAGCTCCAGATTACTTCTCCAAACTGAACCAAGATGAGCCCTTTCAGGAACCAACTAGAATGCTGTTCTGCATCACAGACAATATTGGAAGGTTTTTGCCTAGCTTGAGCATAAATCTGGGAAGTATTACCTTTTAAAAGATCCCTGGACTTTGCAGAGAGGGCTCCTTTAGGGCTTTCCATGAGGTTGAATAGCCAGTCAATGAACTAGGATGAAAATGAAGAACAATATCAGTGAAGACAACCCCACTATCAGCACGAGATCAGTCAGACCATTGGGGCCGCATACGTGCAGATCAGCATAGTAGTCGTAGGCAAGACCTGCCTGGGCCAGGAGAGTGGAGATGAGAAAGGGACCAGGCACAAGAGATGTTAAAGACGGACATAGCTTGCATTTAGTCAAATGACCCAGCAAAGTTAAACCTCTTCCCTTTGCTGAATACCCTGAGTCCTGTTGCAGGTTTTAAGAGTGAGGTAGACATGGGCCCCAAGGGCCTCCCGTGTGCCATGAACATTCTCTCTTGTTACTCTGAGAGGCCTAGGCATGTCAAGAACCTCGCCCACTTCCACTCCCAATGAATAGCAGAGTCAAAACTGGGACCCAAAGCCTCACACTCTTTCTTTGCATCATGCTGCCTGCCACCGGGTCTGTGTGCACCCAGGCCTAGGCTCCTAGGCTGGGCAGTAAGTAGGGAAACACATCTGATGTAAGCCCTTGTCTCTAAAATATGTTTCTGTAGATAAGAACAGTTTATGCCAAAATGGATATGAAACAGGTAGGTGAAATGCAAGAGAAAAAGCACAAAATAATTTACTAGATAGAGCCAAGTGAGTTAACTGCAAATAAACCTTGGAAATGAGGTAGAAACTCCTGGTACTCATGAATTTGACTGATCTTATGGGGTATGGCCAAAATTGTTTTTGAATTGGGGAGAGGCTAATTTCATTGATGCCTGAATGTTGCCAGTCTTGACTAATTTTAACTTTGGACACAGAAGCTGAGTTGAAAAAACTGCAAAATAGAGAGAAAAAGAAAATATTCCTAATTCCCTGCTTTAATTAAAATATTTTTTCTTAGTTTATTTTCTTTTTCTCAAGTTTGTTTAAAAATATCTTACTGGTAAAGTAAATAAATCAAACACTACAAATGCATAATAGATGCAGGATATCTACATTGTAGTCCAAAGTGAACATGGTGTTCCAGGCCAGAAATAACATGAGTGGATATAACATTGAAATTGATTTTGATTGAAAATAAAACAGAAAACAAAATTTGGGGCAAGACTACTAATGCTTATCAGGTTTAAGAAAACAAAGGCATTTTGATGGAGATGCTCAGTGGAGTGATGCATAGCTAAACTGTGGGTCCCCCATTCAGAAATATTTTTACAGATTAATGTTCAGGTTTTAAGAATAAGCCACATAAAGTTAGTTTTAAGCTTTCGACCTCATAAGAATCCAATTTTGATGAAATGGAATTCAAAAAAAGAATCTTTCAAAGAACTGTATTAAAATAAAGATAGGTCAGAGCCATGTAATGAGAATTACAGGAAACACAGTACTTTCATATGCTCTGTATGACAGCTAGGAGCCTGGGGGATGTTAGTATCAAAACCCAAAAGATGTTTCCTACAGTTTGGATATTCCTGAGGGCAAGGGTGATGACATTAGACCTTTGCAGATCTCCCCACGGTATTTGGCACAGGCCAAGAACACGACTGGCACCTAGAATATAGCCGTAGGATGGAATGAGCTGTGGGGAACCTAACTATGCTATAAAACGGATGTTCCAGATTCACATTTTCCCTCAGGAGCGTTCCTTGACCCATCCCAGGCACTGTTGATCACCCCCTTCCCTTACTCATCACCACTGTAACCTCCTTTATCATACCATCTTGTAATCTTGAATTTGCCTCCCTGTCTGTCCTCACTCTGAGATTCTAAGCTCTCAGAGACTTACTTATCATTTCATCTCCAGCATCAAGAACACGTGCCTTCAATAAATGACTGCAAGGACAAGCTTTTCTTTCCATCTCCCAACTGTAAACAAGTTGCTGCTGTTGTCACTGTTGTTGTTTTAATCAACAGTTAGCCTGAGCCCAGGCTAGGCTCAATCTCTGAGGCTCCGGCTGAGAGTCGGGGCTGAGTATGAAAGCCTGTGGAGTGATTCAAGTTTTACTTAACTTCCACTTCCAATCTACAGCAGAAATTGCTGATGAGAAAATGGCCGCCTGCCCTGATAAACAGGTGGCTGACAACTTTACCTTCTGGGTCTGTTCCTTCCATGGCTCTTTCTGCAGCAGAAGAAGCATGCTACTAGGAAGGAGAGTAAGAGCCTCCTGCAGAGTGACCCTGTGCATTGGACTTCTGCCAAGGAAGCTCGATGCTGGCCTAGCCGGGCCATTTTCCTGATGCCATGGCAACCAACTGGCACTGAGGCCGAGAAGGAGAGGGGCAGCATGGTCTGCCCATGCAACTACCACATTTGCAAATACCAGCAACAGGAAGTCCAAAGCCTACAATGGAAATAGAAACAAGACTAGGTCACATGTTTTAACAATTCAAAGTTATACATGTTCACATACACAGCCCCCATCGTGATGCAATGTCATCTTCCCCTTCACCCAACCTCTCCTCCTCCCCCACCCCTACCCCAGAAGAGGAACTGGACTGAAGAACAAAAGCTGTTTCCATACTTAATAAAGAGAAATTGTAGGGCTTTGCCAGGTATTTTGAAATCCTCTCTTGTGAAGACAGAAGGCCCAACGGTTTCATTATTATTGCTGTAACATTTGAGGAGAAATAGAATTTATTTAATTCCTAATCGTATTGAGGTCCATATAATCCTCCGTTTTGGTGTTTTCAAAGGATTAAAAAATTAATTAAGAGTGATATGGAGAAAGATATTTAGATTTATTGTTATGTGGCTAAAACTGATTTTACAAAATATAGTGTGATTCTATTTTTAAACAATAACAAGTGACGCTCCTCACTCATTTGAACAATGTGTCTAGAATCCATCCAATTTTAGACTAGTCTAGAAAATTGTAGAAATGGTGGTAACAGGGGCTACCTCTGAGTTGTTGGGTTACTGTGATTTAAATTATGCTTCTTTCTGCTTATCTGTATTTTCTAGGTCTTAAAAGATTTTTGTAAGAAAACAGAGAGGGCTAATAAAAACTTGGGAGATCAGAAGAAAAAGGGGACACATTATGCTCATTTAAAAAAAAGTTTAAAAAAAAAGTACTCCCCAATCTTTTAAAATTCCTAATCTCACTAACTAAAATTTCAAACACACACACAAATCTTCAGAAAAGCAGGGCAGAATTTCAAACAACATCCCAGGTTGTGCACATTTTTACTTTACAAAGGAAACATGTGAAATGTTCCTACAGAAAAAAAATTCTACCCCTAAAAAATGTACAGTGGGCAGCTAAGTCAAGAAAATGAGGAGAGTAGGAAAGTGCTGTCATCATTTATTAATCTTTTTCTTTTTTAACTCACCCAATACCAGTAGTTGTTAACCTTTTTGGGGCCATAGGTCATTTTGAAGGTGTGCTGAAAACGCCTCTCTATTATATGCACACATACTTGTCAGTATTGGCGCACACACAGATTATTTGCATACACTCCAGGAATTTCTTCAAACCAGGCGTGTGAAGCCATGCTCTGGGCCAGTGCGGAGGCCAGAGCCCTGGACCCCACCTCCTTTGTGGGATCAAGCCCAAGTATGCAGGACCCTGGGTTCCCTCTTCAGTGTCCCTTGTGTGCTGCCTGTCAAGTAACGTAGCCTGTTGGAAATATTTTTCAAGGAGCACCCTGAGTGTCTCCAAGAGCCTGGTAAGAACATTCATTTCCTTGTGACATCAGAGTTGTCACCGTTATTTCCCAAAATGAAAAGGAAGGAAGGAAAGAAAGCTACAAGCAGCAATATTTTCCTGTTTAGGGAGAACAACTATAAATTCTATATTTTAAGAAAACTACAAATTACTCCTCCAGATTGTACCTCATCCAGGGCCACGTTCTGAACAGATGTTGACTGGTATGCAATATTTCTGATGTAACCCATCAGTTCCAAGAGCCATTCCATTCTCTTCAACATGCCTGAAACAAAAAGGACATTTTCTTACCCGACGATGGCTTTTCCTTTGAAATGTAAAGCAGAGCAGTAATAACCATCATAACTCAAGCAGAACACCTGGTGAGGATTCTGTGAAATAGTTTCAAGTCCTCTCACAATACTTAAGACTTGTGATTGCCAGTGAGGGTTCTTTGCCACTATTCATATCAGATGACCACATTTTGGTCTTTGTTTTCTAAAACTAATTTATTCTTCAAACCTATCTACCCACTAGTGATAAAATACATTTATTGGGGTTTTTCTCTCAACATTAAACACACTAGGAGAAATCTAGCACGCCAACTAGCCAGTAATGTTGAATCTTGGATTAGTTGTTTTTATAGTCCTTTGCTTAAAGGTTCTCACTTTGTGTCATAATCACAGAGAAAAACCTATCCCAAAGATATAAAAAGAAAAATAAAAACCAGCTGTTATATGGTAACTGGAGAATAAACATCAACATACATATTGTTTTTTCTTTTATTTTAAAAAAATGAGGAGTCCCATTACAGTAAAAACTACTTGGGAAAGTTCTCAAAATTTAGTGAATAACAGCAAAATGAGAACTAAATTTGAAGGTCAGCTAGTTAAAACCAAAGGCAATATCAAGTTTACTTCAATTTGCTTCAAGTATCTTCATCCCTAATTGGGAACTGGGTGTTCGTTTTTTTTCCTGATAAATACACTTTTGATTTAGAGTGAAAAATGTAATTTCTCATCACAGGCTCATTTTTCATCAGGAAGATACTAACACAGATACGAGACAACTATCTCGGTTACCAAAGAGGAGGAGTAATCAAAATTTCCTATACAGTCTCAAAAAGAGTACTACAATTATGTTTGTCAGTTTTCTCTCAAAATTTTATAAAGCGATAGGGAAAAATGGAGCACAGAAACATAAGTAAGTTGACAGGGTCACAACAGCTGTCTGGCCAAATCTGATCCACTTAAGCCAAGAGCCATTCGGAACCTGAAAGTTGACTCAAGAAATTCTAAGCATATGACCTAAGCATGGGAGGAGACATGAAGGAGCTCCCTTTTCAGAGGATTATTAGGGCATAAATGTCTAAAATGTTCTAAATTCTGCAACAGATGACTCATTAGCAGAGCTTCAGGCCTGGAACTTCTTGAGGATGTAGTCAGGTTGTCCAGATTTTATTCTTCTCGCCTCTGAGAAGTTCCACAGAATAGCAATTTCATTTTGTTGTTGCTGTTTTGTTTTTTTGTTTGTTTGTGAAATGACTGCCCAAAACCCATTTTCATGAAAACATCAGGCAGGCTCAATGGGCATTCTGTCTAAGAAACCAAAGCGGGCAGAATCAACCTGATAGACTTGTTTCTATCCTTGCGGGCCAAATACAATCTAAAGATCCTCAAAGGAATCCCTTCCCCTCTCCACAGAGTGGGTGTTGTGAGCTGTAACTGCTCATTTCTGTCCATGGTGCTTCTCATTCGGGGTAACAAGGTAAAGTTGTCAGCCACCTGTTTATCAAGGCAGGCGGCCATTTTGTCATCACCTGGGTCAAGAAGCACTAAACCAGCTTTGAAGTTGAGGAAGCAATGACAACTTAAAGGACATGGTGGGCAGATCTCCGTGTCCTGATGCCCGGCCCAGGTTGGCTCACCTGTGTTGTCATGGCTGGCAATCCGTGCCTGGTATAAGCTGTGCAGTAACATCCAGGCCAGCACGTCCTTTTCCTGGTGCTGAACAGCAACGCTGAGCATGTCAGTCAAGCCCATCAAGGGGAACCGTCCTTGGGAGACCAAGTACAGTCTGACAAAGGCAGCCTTTTCTATGCTGCTCTGCAAAAAAGCAAATTGTTCAGTTACTATTAAATTAACTGAAGTCGTCAGAGAACCTCAGGGCAAGGGCAAAACAGAAAGGGTGAGCTTGGAGTTGATTATTATTCCAAACGTTAAAGCTGTTCATTTCCTGCAGCGTGTGACCCATCCGCCTGCATGCTCTATTAAAATGTACAGGCAGACAGAGGGTTGTAATGTCACCTCCTGTTTTCTCATAAAAACCATAAATGATTTCAGGGGTTAATTGGCGATATTTAGTAAGGATACACAAATAATGGCAATGATAACTAACAAATACAATACTTACCATGTGTCAGGCACCATTCTAAGCACTTAACATGTGTTAATTTGGCAGTTCACAAAGTGTGCTACGCAGACGTCTAGGCGACCCTGAGACCCTTTTAGAGGGTCTGTGGGGTCAAACTGTATCCATAACAGCACCAAACTCTAGTAATATGCATTGTATTTTTCACTGCCACTTGCAATTTTTTTAAAAGCTAGTTTCACTTAAAGTATCCTCGTAAACAATAGAAATTACTAGTTTCATTAAACCTTTGCCCTTGAGTACATATCTTTTCAATGTTCTGTGTGATAAAATGGGGAGTATGTTTAAGGGACTTGTGCTGCGTACCCAAGTATGATGGCTGTCTCAGGAAAAGTGATTGTAAGGCTGAATGGTGGGTTGAAGTAGCCACTCCTCTCACAGAACACCATTTACTTGACTGATTAATGGTTATTCAAACTGAGTATCTGACAGATTATTTTCTTAAAATTGAAGGAAGTGAGACTGTCACTTCATGGAAAATACTTGACAATATTTGCTGCCAATAGTATAATCTGAAATTTCAAGTGAAAAGTAGACTTTTAGAAAATTCGTATCTGCTACCATGAGTTCGGCAGCTTCTCAATAAATAAAAGACTTTTCTGATGAAACTGCTGGTGATATTAACAAATACAATGTTTTGACATTATACGAGTATAATGAAATGTAAAGATTTGGAAGATTTTCAAAACTTAGTGATTCAAAATTTTCCAAATGGCCAATGAATATTACAAAATCATCCACTGCTAAAAGGCCCAGAGTACAAGATAGACCAATGGATTTTAATGTAACACAGTATGTGAAGTTCACTGATATGGTTTCAGATTCCATGCTGCAACTAACCTACAAGAAACTTGCATTTATGCATTTTGGTGCAAAGCAAAGAAAGATATCCACAATCATCTGAAAAGTCTATTAACACACTCTTCCCTTTTCTACCTATATATCTGTAAGAGGCTGATTTTCTTCACATACTTCACCCAAATAATATCATAACAGATTGAATGAAGCAGCAGCTATGAAAATCCAGCTGTCTTCTATGAAGCCACACATGAAAGAGATTTGTGAAAATGTGAAACAATGCCACTTTACTCACTAATTTTTAAAATTTTCTGGACAATATTTTTTCTTATTTATGTTAAGATGCAATGAGTTTTTTATTATTACTTTTAAGAAAATATTTTTAAAATTTCCTAGTTTTAATTTTTAATATGGTAAATACTGACAGATATGACCTATATAAATAAAAGCTCTTTGGAATCCTCAGTAATTTTTAAGACACTAACGTGGCCCTGAAATCAAAAAGTTTGAGGACCACTGTGTTAAATATTGAATTCTCACACCAACCCTATGGAATAGATTACTATTTTCATCCCTCCTTTGCAGATAAAGCAATTTAAGCACAGAGATTAGGTAACTTGATGAAGGTCACACAGCCATACATAGGTGGCAGAATAGAAATGGAACCCAGGGAGTCTGAGCTCTTCACCATCACCTTATCTTACCTCTGTTCTTTCCAGAAAAGAAAACACTGACCTCAGTGGAACACACTAGCTCTTTTGGGGACATCAAAACACTATTTAGTATGTCCTAGTGACAATGTTCTGAATGGTACTTTAGGAACCCAAGTGAACAACATAGCAACCTTTAGCTCTGGGTACCATGAAGCAAATTATATGCATTACTTTTTACTATATTACACGAATATAATAATAGGATACAATTAATTACATGAATATAATAACTGTGATAATAAGTAATTACTGAGTACTTGCCTCAGGTCAGGCTCTTTACCAAGAATTTAACATGGATTAAGTCATTTAACTTGCAAATTAACCCGAGGAGGTAGGTGCTATTATCTCCCTTTTATTGATGAGAAAACTGAGGCAGAGAAAGGTTATGAAATGTAACCAAGGTCACACTGCCAGTAAATTAAAGAGCTGTATTTCAAACCCTGGCAGTGAGGCTCCTGAGAACATTCTCTTAAGCATTTCCTTATACTGCTTTACCTTGCTTAAAATAAGCTCATCCTCAAAATGCTAATATTCCAAATACTCTAACAGTGGTTCTAAAACCTTAGGATACACCACAATCACCTGGAAGGAATGTTAAAACACAGATTCCTGGGCCCCACCTCCAGGTTCTGATTGAATAGGTCTGGGGCAGGATGTGAGAATTTGCATTTCTAATCAGTTCCCAGGCCACACTGACGCTGCTGGTCCAGGGACCACATTTTGAGAATCATTGCTACATGATGCAAAAATTCCAGGATTCAGCTGAGTAGGTAAAACCTTCCATACAGTGGAATAACTAAGATGGCCACCAGCTACGCAAGGGCTCGCAGTTCTATAGAACTTTAGTATTGACAGGTATGCAGGGTTGCCATTGGAATAAGTATGTCCATTGGGATGTACTTACACTAAAAAATTATTCATTCCTAACTGCAATTCAAATTTAACAAGACATATTATATTTGCTAAATCTGGCAAACTTACTGATATGCTACTTTTAGCTCGTTCATCATTGACTGGGAGTGAGTGTGAGGGGTACTTGTTAATTATCTTGTGTCAGGGCTAGTAGTGCTTCTTTTTCAATCAAGCACCTTTCTTCAATCTAAAAGGATAAGTATCAGGTGAAGAAAAATAAATGTGAAAACAGAACTATTTATTTATGCCTTCCATATGCCAAAAAGTTCTTCGGTCAGAATAGTCCCATTCTTGTGGATTTTGTGTTGAAGACATTGTCCTGTACTTATTTTTGCCCAAGGCGACACTAAAATGTTTGACAAAATGGGATTAATTAGGTTAAAACGTCATTGTTCCATTTATCCATCCATAAAACGTTTGTTATGAACAAACCATTGTACTAGGCTGGACACAAGACCCTAGGAGTGAAACAGAGATAGTTTCCTAAAATCAACCAAGAATAGAAAGCAAAACTAGCCTCGGCCAAAAGGGTACTGTAACCACCTCTTCAACTGTAATTCCTACCTCAATAATGAAAACAAATATAGATATGTATTACCTCAGTAATGAGGGCAACCCGATTGGCTTCATCATCTGTCATTTCCAAGAGGCATTTTGCTACACAGATATACAGCTCCAGGTCATTTCTCTGGTAAAGAAAAAACCCAAGCATGTTAATACACAACATAAGTATACTTACAATGTTCTGACAAATTATTGGATTTATCTCCACGAACAGCAACTGGCGAGATTTGAATTTTAACCAAACCAAAACATGTGGCCAATTTTTATCATTTAAAAACCATCTATCCTTTTATTTTGTATATTTGTTTGGCTGTACTTTTTTTTCTCCTAGTCAGAATCTATTATCACTCCAAATGGATTTTCAACTTCTTTGTGAAACTACAATTCAGAGGTCTGCTGGGCAAGGGGAAAGGCTAGTGTTAAGTCACTTGATATGAACAGTATCTTAGACAACATGCCCAGTGATTCTTCTGGTAGGAAGTGTAGGGTTTCTGAGCTTGCTCACCTTCTACAGGCATTTGGGGAAAAGGCCCAAGAGCAAACTTCCTGGTGCAGCACTGGTTAACCTGCTTCTGAGCTTGCTCAAGACTTTGGTTCTAAAAATTCAACCTCAATTTAGATCTTGGAAGCAAACACATGCTTAGTGAAGAATGTGGTTATTTCTTGCTAGCCTTCCCACCACATTCTTAAAGCGTACACCTCTCTGCTTTGCCAAAAAGGCTTTAGAAAATCCCAAACATCAATTGTCAGGAATGTAAATATTTTTCTTCCTCACCCGAATCTTATTTGGCAGAAGATAAAAAATTTTCCCAGTAGCTCCACAGAGCAGACTCCAGAGGTGGTAGGCAGGGCTGGGCAGCTTCATGGCCTGGCTCAGACCCTGCAGGGCACTCGGGCATAACTCACGCTGGAAAAGTGGGGAATCTGCTTCAAAAACTGCTACCATTAAGTTTTCAACAAAATCCAGGATCTGTTCATCAGAGACGTGTTTGATCCACAGAGGCGCAGATACCAGGAGGTACTTCTTGATATTCATCTGGAAGCAAAAGGGAAGAGGTCAGATGTAAACAGGCAAGTCTGGGTTTGCAATGCTCAAAACTGCCAGGTCGCCACTGTGCTGGAGAGTAGACTGAGAGATAAAAGGTTCAGGTTGCTTCCTTGCCCCTCATTTCCCCATAGCTTCATGGTCAAATGGGCCACGGGTGCCTGTAATGTTGGCCACTGCAGTGACTGCTGATCCAGGGTGACTCATGTGTATATATGGTATCTGCCAATCCATCTGTGAACCAGTCAGCTTAACCTTGGATCTTTTCAGTAAGGGGTAATAAAATGCTACTTCTAATAGTACATGACAGTTGCTATTCAGTCTTAAAAAGTCACATTCTCTGGCAAGAAAAGCTGAAGATGAAAGGCTCATCTGCTGTAAATCAACTCAACGGAATATCTGATATTATTAATTTCTTCTTCTGAGGAGGCATAGGGAATGCATAAGGGGAACTGGCATGCTGAGGCCATTTCTGACCAAAGAAGACCCTGCCGAGCATGTGAAACTGACCGTGGCCTCTTAGAGTTGACGAGAGCTAAGGGGCACGGCTGGTAATAGCTCTGGGTCATAGGCTTTAAGAGAGCAGGCTTCAAAAATTCTTAGAAACATAGTGTGACACTAAAGGAGCAGCAAGTCTAAAAGAAGTGGTATAAAAAAGTAAAATCTTGACAAAAATCAGTGAATTTCAAAAAAGATCAATGTTGTTGCATGAGTTATCCGAAGAGCTCACTTTAAAGAACAAGCCATTTCAGATCATTTTTTTTAAATGAGAAGATACGGAATTCAGAAAATGAATTCACAAAATTTATTAGTTAACAAAGATAATATAAAAGGTCCATAATCAAGGACAAACCAAAAGAGTAGCGCAGATCTAAAAGAGAAGTAGGGGCCAGTCGAATTGCTCAGTTGGTTAAGAGCTCGCTCAAGAGTATGAGCTCCGAGCAACAGGGTCGCCGGTTCAATTCACGGCCCGAGCTGAGCTGCCGCTGAGCTTGCCAACAGGTGGCAAGATGGCTCAGCTAGGAAAAATAAAAAATAAAATAAAATAAATAAATAAAAATAAAAGAGAAGTAGAAGGATAACTAAAACCTAGAAAATTTTCTGAGGTCAACAAAACAGTCTGTTAGAGTTATATCTGATCCAAAAGGAAGGAGTTAATAATACACTGTTTAAGACATGTGCTTGGGAGTTGCCCACACTCTCTTCCATTTATTAGATATGAGAACTTTGCTTACTCTCCATTTGCCTCAGTTGGTCAATCTGTAAAATAGAAATAATAAAATCTACTGCTCAGAAGTGAAATAAGTCAGTCACAAAAACCTCCATATTGTATGATCCCATTCTAAAGAATTCCTAAACTTTATATGATATTTAAATGTATATGAAAGTTCTTTTTAAAAAAAGGGCAAAATTACAGAGACAAAGAACAGATCAGTTGTAGCCTGGTCTGAGATTGGGAGTGGGAACTGACCACAAGTAGGCATAATGGAATTTTTGGGGTGATGGAAGTTTGGTGATGGGTGAAAATGTATAAACATACTAAAACTCCAATTACACTTAAAATAGCCATATTTTATGGAAAATAAATTATAACTGAATAAAACTGTAAAAAATATCAGCCTGTTAGGGTTGAAGAGATTAAATCTGATGTCTGAAAGAACTCACTGAGTGCTTAAAAGTAGCAGGTGCATAGCAAGTGCTCATTAAGTGGCAGCCGACAGGTAATAAGAACTGACAGAAAGGATGCATACCTCAATGACATCAACCTTCAGTTAAAAAATATCAGATGTAAGAAAGCTTAAAAAAAAAAAGTGCAGAGTAGGAACTGATGCCAAACTTTTGAGGAAATAATAAGAGGGCTTTGCAGTATGCTCAAAGAATTAAAGCCTCCTAGAATGGAAGAATGACAAAGCTGAGATCATTTAACGTATAATCAATTGGTAAACTTCTAAGGAATTATGGAATGTGTTTTTTTTGGCACTACCTTAAAACGTACTCAAAATTATACATCTTTACTAATTTCACATCTTCTAATAATCTTGCCCCATTCTTCCTATCTACGCTTAGACCATACCGTGTAAGGTGCTGGCCCCTCTCTCTATCACAAATACAAGGTAGACCGTTTCTTCTTGAGCACTTTGCTCAAGCTGAATACCCTAGCAGAGATATCTCCTCTCCCCACCTACATCCCCTGGTACCTCTAACTTGATGCCTAACGAGATCCTACCAAGCCTTCAAGACTCACCTTCAGTGCTGCCTGTTCTGTGAAAGGAAGGATCATTTACCTAGTACACGTGGATTTGCCTTTCTTTCAGTACCTACCAAAATGATTAGGTATGTTATATAAACAAATAAACCTAGCTTCAAATAACTCTTTCTAGCTGTACGATATTAAGAAAAAAACTTTAAAATCTCTGATCATTTTCCCTTTCTGTAATAAATGGTAGCTGAAAAGCATGAATGGTGGTGGCTATGGCAGAGTTCTGAAACACACAATTTTCCAATCTGCTGGCCAGCTACTGTCAAACCCCCAATTTTTGCAAAATCCCATTTGTCCACTCTTGAGTTTGAGAACACACACCCAAAGGAATGTTAATCTTCCCCCAAAAGAAACATATCCTCCCCTTGCCCAACACCTTAGCTGCTACATACACTCAGGCCATGAATCAGGGGTGGCATCACCCACAATCCCAACAGTGCAGCTGCATTCTGGGATGACTGTGCCTGGGTCACCGAGATTTCAAGGCACAGTTGTTGTATCTCTTCACCTGAAACAGAAGAAAAGAATATGTAATGTAGCTGCTTCTGTGACTCATTTTCAGCTTTCAGTGTCTCAAATCAAAGCATCTGCTTGTGTGACTTCTACAGGTAATAGAACTTCAATAAACCCAAAGGCATTTCAAGAGGCCTTTTAGTAATGAGGCAAAACATGTATCCACTGGTATTAGAATCCCAGGTCTTAGGACTGGCAAGCACCTTGACCTAGTGAGGGGAATTTCTCTTATGAAATCCAGAGAAACCTAAACACTCAAATACTATCATAATTTTGAAATAATTTTAGCTAAAAATGTCTTCCTTTCTGTTTTTCCCTCCTCTTAACTTTGCATTCAGCACACAGAGAAACCTGTCTAGGTCTGGAAGGACTTAAAGATGGAGCCATATTCTCTAGTGATCGAGTCTTTTTAACAGTTTGATCCCCATCAGCAGACATATTTCCCTAACCAGACCTTTCTTCTTTCTTCTAGGGAGTTTTTACCAAAACAAAAATCTTTTCTAAAGGGGGTGGGGGGAGGATATATTTTTCAAATGAAATCTCTGAAAACATGGTATAGTAACATTGTATCTTATACAGGGATTAGGTTACAATAAAAGCATTTAAGTGAAAAATTGTGTATAGTCAAAATTATCTTTGATTATCTCTTAACCTGCACATAAATTATACTATATAAATCTTTCTGTATAGCATACGTAAGTAAGCACCCTA